GATGAAGTAATGATCTAAAAGTATTGTAGGGAGTTTCTAACTGTAAATACCCCAGTATCGTACTTTATGACGAAATATGAGGGAAATCTATATTCCATAGTGGACGATAGATGGGTTGCAATGATAATAATGATGATATGAATAGATTGATGAATGTGGAGGAAGCGAAAGAGATCTGTTTGAAACGAAGCATTTGTCATCCCATTGTCTATCCCAGTGGGAGACGGGCGTGACGTATATATTGTACATGTATGTGTATTGACTTAATAAGCATTTTCTGTCATTTACACGAGTATATTAAATACACGTTCCATATTTGAAGATTCATAAAAATATTTGTTTGATGCGGAAATGGAATCCGTTGAGTGACCCTTTTTTATGAGATGAAAATGAAATGCGAATTCCGCCGGCGCTACTGGTAGGTATTTGCTGGCGGACCACCAGTGAGGGATAATAGATGAGGATGACTTCAGGTTAATTAGCCCATTGTGATTAATTCACAAAAAAGTCACGAACGTTTCTAGAGGGATCCATATGGAGTTCAACCTGATAGCTATGCTATCGCTAGTGATGGGGCCGTTAGACCGCATTAATAAAAATGGTTTTCATCTGAAACGTTTGTGTGAGAAGGTTACACAGAACGATCTTATTACAAAAATAATTACACTATCTATCTAAACAGTGATTAACAAAATTCTAAACATTATTTAGTCCAAAAAATTATAGGATTAAAATCTAAAAAAAAAATTAAAAAAAGGACAACCTTTATTTGTACCAACGGCACTAGATAATAATTGGGAACCTCGTACTTTTTATTTTCTAGGAAAATAAAAAAAATTTGAGACCCTAATAATTAATACAAACACTAGTTTCAACAAATGGATTTCTTTAATTAACATACTTGAAGCGTTAAGCCATTTAACATTGTACATAACACTGCATTTAACAGCTGTTTATCACAAATTTAATTTTTTTGTAGTAAGATTGTAAATGATTGACTGGACCAATTAGATGCTGATCTATCTAGTTTCATTAGATTTTAGTGCCTTTACCTGTAATTTAATTGTAAAATTTTATACACTGTTAGGTTTTATTTCTATATAATAAAAGTAGCAATAACTGATCACAGGAGAAAATGGTTCTTCCTCATTAGTAAAATTTGAATTCAACATTTCGTATAATACAATTTTATGTAAAAACATATCCACTACATAATAATATGGCGTCATAGCATTGAGTAAAGACGCCCAGTGTTATGATTCAACGCACATTCAATGCCTCGGAGACAACTCTCTCCTCTTTAATAAGCAAAGAGCATATTGCGCCAACGGACTACGTTATGTGCAAGATTCTATTCTATTACTCGCAACGGGTGTTAAAATAGTAATATTCACACTTACGTAGGTAGGGTTTATACAAATTACTATGAAAATATATATTCATGATAACGACTTACTATAAGTATAAAACAAAACATAATGCATTTTAAAGATATCTTTTAATGACGATTTAGTAGTTATTATATTATGAAATATTTTTTGTAACTACCAAAACAATTTTATATGTATGATATGATTTTTTTCTAAAATTAGTATTATTACGGCGGATTAAATCGATTTTTCAACAAGATCAACAAGACAGAATTTTTAAAAATTAATGCCTACAATAAAAAAGTTTCAGCCAATTCGACTAATCGGTTATTTTATAGCATTTTATATGTGATTCTTTAAATTGATATAACTTTTTTGTTTATGAACCGATTAACATAGAACAAATACTAAACGTTAAGTGGATAAACCGCAATGCATTAGTGCAAACCGCATTCAAATCGGTTAGGGCGTTTCTGAGATTAGCGTGCATAAACATACAAACAAACAGATAGAGATTCTAAAAATCATTGTTTTGGGTTCTATTGCGTTCATATATATGCCATATATAGATAGCGACCAGTTACAATTTTAGTATATGTATTGATTGATAGCCAATTCTCCATGCCTATCCCATATGGCGTAAAGATTGATAGAACCGTTAACTGTTAATAGTAAAATAGAGTTATTTACATTGTGGTAGAACACTAGCTGATAATCACCTAATTAGTTACCTTCTATAAATAATACCAATTAGAACAGTGTTTATTTTAATTATCATGATAAGCAGTTTATGACGGCATCCCATTAAAAAAACGTGACTTTAATAATGAAATGAAATGATTCATGTATTTATAAGGCAACATTGGAGTTGATTTAGAAGCGTCATTTCTTTAAACATCTTATTTTAATTTGATAATTTTGCATAATTACTATTTTATAGACCGTCATAACTAAAATTATAATAATTTCGATTTGAAAATTTGTTCATTTTATGTCTTAAAATAAAAATTTCTTTGTGATATCAAATTGAAATATTAATTTTAGTGATAATCTTAGAGAACAATATATCCCCACTTCTTTTCACTTCTAGCCTGTCTTAAGAAATGGCTAAGAAAACAAAGAAAAGTGCTTGGACCAGTTATCATCATTTCAGCTATTATCTGTCCGCTGCTGGACATAGGCCCCCATAGACCGCCATAAGGAACAGTCCTCCTGACTGAACTGACTCCTTGCAATGCATTTAAGGTCGTCACTACATCTAGTTGGGGGTCGTCCTACGCTGCATTTGCCCGTACGAGCGACCTCGTACGGGCAAGCTTAAACTCAAGAACCTTTCTTCCCCATCAGTTGTCGATTCTTCGAAGTATGTGAGCCACTTCAGCTTGCTTATCGTTTGGGCTATGTCGGTTATTTTGGTTCTTTTGCGGATATCCTCATTTCGGATTCTATCACGCAAAGAAACTCCAAGCATTAAAGTGGCATTAAACCAGTACAGAAGGAAAACTCCAAATAAAACCTTAGACCAAGTCATTTAGTCCATGGGAAGCTATTAACCAGAACTTATGAAAAAGTCGTACCCAGCATTGGGGCATTAATATCGTTATAGTATACTTATAAGTAGTGACCTGTATTTATATCTGCATGCCTAACGCACAGACCTACATGTTAAAATCAATAGCAGTACAATAATTGACAAAATTCGAAATCAATTAGTGCTTAATAAACCACATCGTTTTATTGGCGCCAATTTAAATCGAAAACTAAGTACCTATTACCGCAATACATAGCCAATGGATTCGTAAGTAATTTATAAATTAAAAATACATGTTTAAATGCATACTGTAAAGTACTAGTAAAGTGTCAATTCTATTCGAATCATGGAATGAAGATAAAGACCAGTATAGAAATCACAAATAGGTGTAATCAATATCTATTTATTCAATGGGTCCCCAGTAAATCAGACGAACGGCTAGCAACCTTATCACTGACTCCTCTTCTACGCCATGAATTCCGATCCTAATATATCATCGACTCGCTTTTCCTTATTTATTGCTCTCTTTATACATTCCATTTATAAACCTATTTTGAAATTAAAAATTTTAATTACATAATAATTTAACGAAACTATTCAATTAATAATTTAATTACGATCTCCGTGGCGCAGTGGTAGGCGCATACCATACCATATTAGCCGTTAACTGCCCATTGTTAACCATAGGCCTCCCCCATAAAGAGAGGGAGGAGTGAGTTGCCAGTAGTTACCACGCTTGGCAGACGGGTTGAAAATCGCTGTTAGGTTTTGGTGATATTTTAAGACAGTCGCTGCTGCCCATCCCTCGATCATTAAGTTCCCTTAGTTGCCTACGGGACACTCATAGGAAAGGACAAGGTGGCCCACTCTATGCCGGGACCACACGGCAATGGTAGGCACATAGCTTTGCGTAATGAAGTCCCGATTTTGAATTTCAATCGGGCCAATTTAGGAAATGAACTTCTCTAAATTTACTCAAGTCTGGATGTAGTGGGTTATGTCTACATATATAGTATACACGTAAGTACTAGTACTAGTATGCACGTAAGTACCTGCTTATACATATTCAATAGATTTCCTGTTTGATTCTATTTTAAACCTTCACGTAGTTTCTTAAAAAGGTATGTAGGAAAACTAAGATTCAATGGTCTCTCCTTTTCACATATATGGATATATCCATATACATTTTCTTAACTTACATACATACGTGATCCGTATTCTCCAAATATAAAATTATTAAATATATTAGGTCATCATTATGAAATTTTAGCTATATTATCTCGGCACAGAATGGGCCACCCCTTCCTTTGCCGGATGTCATAATAGGCGACTAAAGAAATTTAATGGTCAAGGGATGACCAGCAGTGTCCCTCTTAAAACTTTACCAAAGCCTAACTGCATTTGCTAACCCGCTTGCCAAGCGTGGCAAGTACTGATTAAACCCCATTTATGGGAAGGTCTATGTTCAGCAGTGGAAAGTTAACAGCGGATATGATGATGATTATAAAATTTTATCAAATGCTGTACTTATCTGTCTTTACATTTAACAGAACAGATATGTTAGGTATCTATTCTGTTGAGTAAATTAGATACCGCACCTAATTTACTTAATTGAAAACAATTTCTAGTATGTGTTTTTAGTGAACCAATCGTCATGAAATTTAGGATACAAGTTTAACATGGTAGAGAACATAGCCTATCTCTTATCTTGATTACACGGACCGTCTTAAATAAAAATCAGATAATCCTGGATATATCATACTGTAGATTCTAGGGGAATGGTGTTGTTAGTAATGGGGTCTAACAACCTCATTGCTAGTAATATACACTATCAGGTCAACCTTCAGGTAGTGATTATTTATAATGCAGTATACTAGTTACTTTGCTAGCAATATATCCTGTCAGGTCGACCTCCACATAGTCCCCCCTAGAAACCATCGTGCTTAAACAGGTAATGCAAACAGCTATTACAGATACACGAGTACAGATGCATGAATACAAATGTATCATATAGGAATTGATCCCACAACCATCATAAGGTGAATCAATGTTAACCGCTACACCATCAAGGTCATTGAATACATAATAACACTAATTACCTCTGAATTGTTCTTGCTCGTGCATAGTCTGCACACTGGTTCGCAGTCGATTGATAGTCAACTGCACCGTATCATTAAATCCGTTTTCACTGCCCGTGTACAGCAATGTCACTTCTAACTGGCCCTTTTTGTTTTCTCTCTGTCAATATAATAAAAATAAAATCATTTAACACAATCATGACTATACAATATTATCGAAACTATAAAAGAAACAGAACATCTTTCCCAAAGAAACATAGGATGAAAAACGAAAAAATAAATCTTTAATAGTCATCTAATGCAACACAATCAGTTATCCAGTATATTTATCTATATTATGTCCATGTTCCACTATTATTTCTTTGGGATAAATATACACTTTTCTAGACAGAAACATAAAAATGCAAGTTTCACCCTGTATACTCTATTTCAAATATAACGGTAGATATTAGAGATGGTAAAAAAATAACGATAACTTATAAGCCGGATGATGTGGTCGCATATCGTGCTATAATAAAAAAAATCTAGAGTTATCCCAAGCCAACCGTTCTTATAATCTTATTAATATAATAAAATTGTAACTAGAGGATGCCTATATATAATAAAAAATATGTAAGGAGTTTTAATAAGAGCAACGGAAGCCAAAATAATATTTTTTGGAAATTTTATCATCTATCTGTCTGTCTGTGTCAATCTGTCTATAGATAAATTTGCTCCGGCATCACGCAACAACTACTGCATCAAATTGCGCTTTTCACTATCATATTCAAGCAAGTCTAAAAACTGGTTTATTTTGATGCGACATCTAGACGTGGTTATTTAATTGGTTTCCTTTTTCTAAAATACACGTGTACAAAGTAACAGACAAAAAGCTAGTAGCTACGATATATAAAAATCGATTCAAAATTGGCATGTAATCTAAAACGATTATATGATACCTTAAAAATATAGCGAATTGATAATTTTTCCTTAAAACAAAATACAAAACAACAAAAATCAAATTACATTGAATTAGTATTAAATTCTAATATATTTAAAGCTTATATAATGTATCTATGTAGATATAGTTTATTTGCATTATTTACAGCACACAAATAAAAACAAACGTAAATCGACATACACAAAACAAGAGATTCAAGATAAAAGAATACATATACAACAAGAAAAAGGAAAATACATAAAATACGACTGTCTACTCATGGAGTAGACATTCCGAATATAGGAAGTAATCTACAAAATATCATCCATGTATCTAATCAATATTGCTGTGTGGTTCCGCCATAGAATAGGCCACCCCTTCCTTTTTTGTGAGTATTATAAGAGGCGACTAAGAGAACTTAATGTTCGAGAAATGGACAGCAGCGTCCCTCTTAAAACATCACCAAATCCTAACTGCGGTTGCCAACCCGTCTGCCAAGCATGGCAACTACTGAAAAACCCGGCTAAGGGAAAGGTCTATGTTCAGCAATGGACAGTTAACGGTTGATATGATGCTGGTGATCTAATCATTATTACAATGCAAAAATTTTATATGTTTGTTACAGAATTATGTTTAAACAGAACGAATTTAAAAGTTATTTTATAGAAACAGCTAGTAACAATACTTGAACACCTACTTGTACCTGTAATCATTACGTCATCTTGTGAATAAGTTGTTATTTATGTTATATAGATGCCGACTGGAACCGGCATCGGTCGAGGTCAAAACGATTTTATTGTAGTCGTCCAAGATTTCGTTTGCAATTTAGTTAGACCATCATGTCTTATTTTCGTATTACGCGTAATGAGAGAACAATTTGGAAAAAAATATATTCCAAACATAACTACACAAATGACATATGAACAATAAACGTTGATTTAGATTCAATAAAATTGGAATGTCTGTTTTGAAAACGTATTTGTCTTATACAAAATACATTGTATATTTAATATATAAATAAATATGTTAGTTAAATGAATCCTTACTAATATTGCATACCTCTGCGGGGTGCTGCATGTTATGTGCCTGTATATGTATGTAACGTCTTATTGTACCATGTAACAAGCGAATAAATATGATTTGATTTGATTTGATTTGATATTATAAATGGAAAAGAGATTTTATTTGTTTGTTTAGCTCCATCAGTATAAAATTTATTATACACGTACTATATGGAATGTAGAAAAACATAGCGTACTTTTTATCCTGGTCAATGAACATATCCTTATTATGTAGATGATGATCGCGGGTAAAAGTTAGTAAAAAATAAATTATATTAATTTAAAATGTTAATTAAGTATAATAAGTACCTATATCATATACGAGCATATTAGGTAGCTTTTTGAAAAGAAATAAAAAGTGAATCATTGCTATCAGAGTAATTGTATATTGTGGCAATATATCAATACCTAATGGATATCAATAATATCAAAAATGGATATAATTTATGCTCTTACTGAATTGTTTTATGCAACTTAAAAAACAAGCAAACACGCTGACTGCCCATCTGATAGAAAGTGGTAACCGTTATGAACAATCCTATGTACATAACAGTGTAAACTGTGTCGCATATGACACCATTCATGCGTTGCCACTCCTAGAGACTAGAATGTTATGTCTCTGTACCCTGTAATTTCATTACCATATTCCACCCTTAAAACCGAAACACAGCCATGCAAATACAGCTGCTTCATGGCAGAAACACGAATGGGATAGAGATACCCAAGATGACTTTTATACAAAGTCTCTCTCTCTGGTTTTGTAAATTTAAAGTTATTATAAAGAATAGACATAGAAATTAGGCACGTAAAGTTTTAAGTAGGTATTTTGTACACAGATGAACTTATTAAAAAAAACCATCAGTCAATCCAGTTTGTATGAGTGGTTTCTAAAAACAGAAAATTTACTAATGTGGTGTAAATCAACACAATTAATTAATAGAGACAGAACATAGGACATATTTTATCGTAACTCATACAAAAAAAAAAACCCGCGGAATACAAGAAAATCATAATTGCTTTGTGATTATTCTTTTACTTAGAGATGGCACAATTTTGTTCCTCATCCACTATGCCATATCAGCTGTCATAGCTGGGTTCTGTCTTCTGTTAAGCATATCATCTTTCACACTATCCATTCATCTTTTCATTATCCATCCTCTGTTTAAATGTAATAAATACAAGTAAATAATATCTTACTTATTTACATATTTATTTTAAATATCTTAAAGTAATATAACTAAAATTAGTATACAAAAGAAGAACATTAATAATACAAATGCAAATAAACTTCAAGGCATCTCAAATATTCATTAATTGTCGCTGTAATATTGTGAATTGTTGTACTATTTTGATGACTAATGGATGAATACCAAAATAGTTACACCCGAACAAACTCAGAACATGCCGACGGTAATAAAATAAATTAAAATTGTTTACTACCATGATTATAATTATATATACGCATCATCGACATCTGTCTATCTATAATTAAAATAGAACGCATATTCGGTATCTCAAATGTTTATGTTAGATTTAACGTCTCAAAATATTATGAAGTACATTAATGTGCGACGAATCTACAAAGGCGCATTTTACAGTGAAATACTATTTCTATATATCTATATACATATCCATACCAATTGTATATATTGTAGCAAAATTTTTGCTCCACAGAAAAACATTGCGATTTCCATCGTAACAAAACATCATTAGATTTTTTAAATTATTATTTAGAACGCAATAGCGCGCAATAGATTTGACAATGCAACAAATATGATTTTGCTACATAAACAATATCAGCGGCTTCAATTGTATCTATCCAATATAAAAATCAAAGATTGCAAAAACAATTGCCGAAATCGATTAGTATTCTAATGTAATTGCTTAATATAACCGTAAAAAAAAAAACAAATAAATTGAGAACTTCCTTATTTCGGAAGTCCACTGTAGCAGTGTTAAGTTAATTACATTAATTGCCCAGTTGTCATACCTACTTATTTTAAACAGTAGACAATATAACATATCTAAGAATTACATAATTTTAAGAACTGGTATTTTAACTCAGTAACTTGTAAACTTATAAACATGGTGTAAGCATCTATTTAAATCTAGATTTGAATTTGAATCTACATAAACATATACAAACTGTCAAATACTAATAAAATAATTTATTTATAAACTATCCAGTAATTTTTTTACTACAGCAATTTATAAGAATTTACTTTAATCCTGTAACTAAATCAGTCTCTTTTAAAACATTAAATATTGTTACATTAAATTAAATTATAGGGTATAGAATCGTAACACCATAGTACTCACGATGACAACACGTAAGGATTACCAATGTCCTCATAGTCTATGCTACTACTACCATGCTGCTCATAGCGCGGTCTATATTCCGTTTTGCTCTCCCATTGTATCGTGATGGTAAAATCGTATGATATCGTGAAGTTCCAAAAAAGTATAAAAACGCCCTATAAGTGATGGTTATCACTTTCCATCAGATGCACCGTTATCTTACTTATTTGACCTTCTAAATTACTAAAGAGGTGGGTAATACACTCGTATGTATTTATGAAAAAAAAAACAGAAATCTAATTAATTTTATCCGAACTATTGATTTAAACTGAAAAAAAATCATTTTTGTATCGAATGAATAAATTTAAAAAAATATTAACAGATTTTAAAAATTCTTTCACCTATAGAAAGTTAAACGTTATCTACGAATATAATACAGCTTATATTTTATCTATTTTTCTACCTAACTAGCAATGCAAATCCGAGGTAAATTGCTATATAATATAATTTAAATTACACTGAATTTTAAGGAAATATCTTATTAGCCTACTTCAGTGACCTATACAGAAGTTTATTATTAGTCGTATTTTAATATCAAGTTTCATTTTAATTATAATTAAAAGCAAGTACCTGCCGTATTTATTATCCAGCACTCTGTGCCCTGTAATAAATTGTCATAAAATACACTAACGAGGAAGAAACCTTATTCCATTATGATTTTTGTATTAAAATTATTAGGATTCGATTCCCATGTCACGTTTGTTTATAAACAGAACAATCTCCAAATGTCAGTCAAAAACGCCTGTAACAACTTTACCTAAAATTGTAACTGTATTTTTTTACTAGATAAATAGTGACAATGTGAAATCTAAAATATCAATGAAGTGTGAAGCAATTTAATTCAGACTTGTTAATTTAATATCTACAAATTTTTACATCTATACTTATAATAAATCTGTAGAGAGGTCGATTCTGTACATGAAATATATTTTCAAAATAACTATCAGGGGGTAATTAGTGATTGATACTGATACCAAAAATGCAATCAATAAAATTTTTGTCTGTATGTTCGTTATAGAAACAAACACTACTCGACGGATTTTAACGAAACTTGGTACAATTATTCTTCATACTCCTGGGCAGGTTATAGTATACTTTTCATCACACTATGATCAGTAGGAGCAAAGCAGTAAAGGAAAATGTGTCTGTTACATCAAAACCACTGAACCGTGAGAAAGGACATAGGCTACTTATTTTACGAAAAAAAATAGTTTATAATATAATTAACCATACCCTGCAGCCTTAGATTATATAGATAGAGTATCTCCATATAAATGCTTCGAAAAAAGCGGGTCAACTTTTTCATACAATTTTGCCTAATAAATAATTAGGAGCGATTACTTTATAACTTCTATATTTATTTTGTCTTACAATTTCTGCATCTTTTTAATATGTAAATATTCATTTCATTCATTAAATAATAAGTCAAGATACATTGTATTCGTAAATATATAGAATTTTGATAAAAAAAACCGATCAGCTAATTTGATAATTTGCTAATAAAAAGTTGCCCCTTTTTAAGGCTCGAGACTGTATCTATATAACCTAAACCCGCAGCTTATGTGAAATAGTTTGAAAAACATCCTTTGCACATAATATATACCTCTAAAATATAGTATATCTGTGTACTAAATATTAAAGTCAGATTGAAACAACTTTACAAATGTTCATATCCATTATTAGCTGTATTATTAGAAGTTAGTAGGCAAGGTCGTAGATTTTTTGTATATATGTTTACACGTTTATCATCAATCTGAACAGATTACTCTTATTGCAAAGGATTAATTTGTTCAGATTACTTGTATACTTGTATATTGATAAAGATTTTCTTGATTACTGGTACCATTAACTATGTCACTATTAAAGCTACCGCTTTTTTGCAAATATAAAATCTTAAATTACTGATTAAGGTAGTCTATATATGTCGAAGAAAATGTTGCTTGACCGTGTAACTGACTATGATAGATCCATATATCTATCCATATACATATCCATACCATTTGGAAATTCGACTCCTAAAAACTTCCTTTTTCACTTAAAACTTTCAAAATCCTCCGTAAGTCGCGGGCAAAAGATAGTTTACATATATAATAGAAGATGTTGATTGCCCTACTGACCCATATCAACGCAGCCAAAACGGCTGAATCTACGAGTATAGTATTTAAATTTTACAGATAGATTCTTTATATAGCGAAGATGAACAATAAAAAAGAAATTTTGAAAATCTAAAGGGGGTAGGTAAAACGAGGGTACTTTTATAGAATTTTTGTTAATTTAGAAGTTAGACATGTGTGATTTTATAGAACAAGAGCCAACTTCGCTCGCGTGTAATATTAGATAACATCCAATAATACACTCAAGCGAAACCACGGAGAAAAGTTAGTTAACAATATAAAAATACTTTTATTTTAAAACTTTTATATTAAAGTTGTTGGCACAACATGTCCCCGGTCACTATCTAACTAAACAACACAACATTTGACCCTTTCTTAAACTTGATCTAATCGTAACGATGATATCATAACATTAAAAAATCAAAATGCTCTTGTTACGTCTATCATTATACTCGTACAGCGTTCGACTGAAAGAGTATAATAATAGTACCTATTCATGCAACTAAACAGCATTCCTCAAAGAAACACGGTCAAATATCTAAATATTAATAAATAATACATTTCATACCAAATCGATCAATATATGGTTTATATAAAAAGACAATTTTTCATACCTCGACCCATATATTCCTTTGTGAATGTTGTTCAGTGTCATTAATACTAAACGCTAATTATAAAACTGAACGACTTTCATTATTGAATTACGGGTTAATACTCCAGCCCGTTCTAACAATATTCTTTTAGTATTATGCTCTCCTTTACATAGCCACACTATTACTGCTAATAATCAATCTAAAACTGTTTATTTTTAGGCAAATTCAAAAAGCTTTCACTTCGACAGAGGATTTTTTTTTGTATTCTTCATATCATAAATACATATACTTACTTACATATTATAAACACATATTCATAATTCTTTTTGCAATAGTCTGTATTACTTTTGCACGATTTGAATTGCTGTTTACAAAACAAAATATTAAATTAGGTATCATGTACAAATTTCCTTAACATAAAAAATAAATACATTGTATTAATCTTTAAGTGGTACAATAATGAGTTAATAAATAAATAAATAAAACGTAAAACTAAATAATTAAAGACAGCACATAATCAAAAATGAATTGTTCACTTACCCGTGAATCTGAAGATGACAGGCCACTAGCTATAGCATTGATCGGCCTCCAAATATCCGGCGTACCAATTAAACCGTTCTTAAGATCATTCTGGAACAATTTAGAATCAAAATTCCATGTAGCGGCGCCCAGTGTCCTTCGTTTTTCAAGAACAGATTTTTGAGCTACAGCTTCAGCTTTAGTTGATTTGAAACTGCTGAACGTCTTTTCAAGAAATCCACCCTTAGCCTTTGTTTCTTCCTGGCCTGATACTTTAGTATTTTTAGATTGTAAAGATTTACTGCTTTTTCGTTTTTCTGACTCCTGTTTAGCTGGTTCTAGTACTGCATATATAGTTAACGACAAAAAATGGCCGGCTACGAGAGATTGAAGGTCAGGCTTCTGCGAATTCTTAGGGTCTTTTTGTTTAAGTTGAAACGTAAAATCTTCATTCCATATAGGCCACGAGCTTTCTTGCAATGTTGTTTCATATTTACTATCACCAGGAAAAATTTTCACCTGAAAATAATTTGGTAATCTATATACAATTATTTAAAAACTTGATACCTATATTGACAAAAAATAAAAATTGGCACTTATTAGTGATAAATTATTGTTCTTTTATATTTGAAGCATATTCTAGTATCTAATGTCAGTTAGGTAGATAATTATTGTACTCAAAAATTTTCATATGCTTACTGATATTAGTTATATTAATAATTTTGTTACCATTTAAGTATTTAGTGCGTTAACAGTCAAACTAATCGTCATGAAATTTTATATGCATTAATATTTAAAGAAGCACATAGACTTTTCTCCGCAGTCAATTCATATGACCTTGCCATGAGAACGAAATCGCGGACACAGCTATTGTATATATACGTATATAATAATCCTAAGCTTCTTTTTTATACGAGTACGTGTACATAATGTCGCTCGACCGAGTCTGTTATACAGATCAGTTTTTAAATTGGACCAACCTTCTCAACTACAAAATTTAATTAAAAGCTATTTTCTCTGGATAAGATAAGAAACAGGCTGACAGAGCGAGATTAAATTATAAGTTAAGAACCTATAGTAAAAATTTCAAGTTTCCAGACATAACTGTCACTAGTAGCTTAAACTACAGATTGATTTGAATCATTCGTAGATGATATTCAATTTATTTTTTATTTACTCGTAACTTCACTCGCTACAGCATATAGAGTATCATATATGTATGTATAAGTTGAGATATAACATATCCGTGTACCAAATTTCATACAAACTCGTCTAATAATTTATATATAAACGGAAACAAACATCCATCTATTCATTATATAATTATGTACAAATGTGAACAAACATAAACAATTTCACATTATTTTAAAATACACGACTCAGTGATAAGTCAAAGATAAGGAAGCGGTTAACAGAAAGTTGATAAAATAACCATCACTTATTGAATGTTAGTTTTTTAGATAAGTATAAGTACTTATACATATCTACTTATTATTCGACTGACATTCTAAATTATTAAATTACAATAAAAACATAAAAGTTTCTTAAAAGACACTATTCAACCGATTTCTAAAATATGGAGATTCTCTTGGTTGTATTTTTTTAAGTTTGTTATGTTATAATTCCGTCCCTTGTAAACCAATTTGGAAAATTCTTTTCTAATTCTTTCTATCTGAACATACTTATGAATTAGTCACATACAAATATTATCAAAACCGGCTCAATAACTTGGTTTTAAAATCAAAATAACTAGTTTTACCACAACTTAAGTCTGTTTTTTGTTGACTCTTTTGAGTATCTATTTTTTATAGATGAACAGTGAGTGATGCACCCATCTATGTTTTACAAGGACGACACACCATTGAAGGATGAAACGATGAGGATATTGTCAGTGCATAGCATACTACGAAGAATACGAAAAAGTTCTTAACGAACTAACCTGATTGGTCAACCTAGGAAGTCGACTTCACAAGGCATATTGTTATTGGATACTGGCGTCCACATTACTAACAATGGTCTATTTATTTTTATGCCTATATATTAATTAAAACATACCTACTCTACTTATAATTATTTTGAACGGAATTTTTTGGCTAGACTTTGATAACTAAATAATTAGGGAGGAAATTATGGTGCAATTTATTCACCAAAGAATGATAAATATAGTAGAATACAATAGTTATTATTCTTTTTCATATTCATTGTTATATAAGAGATTACTAAATGAACAAACCACAATCATTAGAATAATTAAAATTAATAAATTTATTATCCAGGGGAAGCTTGGCCCCTTAAAAAGGCGCATTACGTACTTTCAGATATGTCTTGCGCATACCTAAAGCTCCGCTCGCATTCCGTGATAGGCAACTAGACAATTCTGGAGTAGACACAGCCCACTCGGCCGCCCCTTAAGTACTCCCATGAGTACAATAAATCATCAAGAAAAGGAAAATACATAATTATTTATGCAACATAGAATGGGAAAATGGAAAGTGGTAACATAATTATACCTAGCCAGCTGAGTGTGCTACTATTTTTCTTTTATAGGAAAAGATCAGTGATCAACAGTGGCTCTGTTATGGGTTGTTATTATAAAAGATTTTTACAAAAAAAAAAGAGAGAGACAGAGATACAAAAGTTGTCTTCTTGGGTACTTGGGTTCTTCCCACTAGTACTTCTGCTGTGAAGCAGTATTTGCATGGCAGAATTTGAATGATAGGGCAGTAAATTACAAAGTACGGAGACACTTAATCGTTACGAATAACAACGTATGAAGGTCCACGAACATTATAGTGTATTAGGTGATAACCACGGTACTTTTCTATACTAATATTATGAAGAGAAAAGATTTGATTGTTTGGTTGTAATGGATAATTTATTAAAAACTACTTAACCGATTTTAAAATTCTTTCACCTACAAGTAAACTACATTATCAAGGAGTAACATAGGCTATATAATATTTTCTATCTTCCCGTATGAAGCCGGGGTGGATCGCTAAGCATGCCTTTAAGCAATGGTTACCACATTCCATCATATGGGTCATCAACTTGTTTTCCATTTTAAATGTTATAAATATGTTTCCATTCCCGAACAAACTTACTTCCCTAATTAGTCGATAAAAAACTTAGGTAATGACCATACATATCGTACATACCTACTTGTACTTAATTAAACGACAATATTTATATCATAGGGATATGAGAATATAGCGATTCCGTGAAATTCTAAATATTATATCACGAAAAATGTCAAATTAACTGCATCTCGTTGGTGGAAAATTTTGTGCGATTTTAGTCAACGCACAAATTTTTACTACAACATATAATATTTATACGTAATACAATATGTCAGTGATACTTTCTTTCATTACAAAATCCTAAAAATACCTAACTATTGTCAATATTTTCTCATATGGCTATATTTTTCATTTCAACAACAGAACGTACAAATTAGTGTATATAATTTTATCAAATCCCTATTATTCTCAATCTACTGCAACTTATAGTGCAATGACGGGTATACTAAATTAGTGGTAGGTACTGTATTTAATGGTACTTGTAAATAACTTTGAGTAACAAGTACTCATACAAAGTCAACTTTTTCGTGGTCCCTCCTAGAAATCATCTTGGTTAATTCCTGTTGAATTTGTTATGATAGATCAATGGACTTGATTTCATCCTCACCTGGTCACTCTTTGGTGCCCCGCCAGTTACCCTTTCATTTAGTATAAATACATCTTTCATCTAATAAAAAGTACCAAATGCACCCACAGAATTCATATACCTACTTACATTTTATTGAATCAGAAAAAAGAAAATAAATTATCATTTTTTTTACTTTTCAATATATAGGCTTTAAAATCTTTAACACATTTGTTGACTAAATTTTTATCGCATACATATTTGTTTTAAAACAAATACCTGTGTCAATTCTATTAAATAGTAGTTATACCTACTATTCCTACTAGCGCGGCACCTGTTACTCGTATACAATTAAAAGTAGACAGGTACCTACCTCGTAAACAATCAGTGGGCAGCAACTTGGCCTCAATTAGTGAAACAATTAGACGGATGTTAGTGTATCTCCACAATGTGCCCGCATAAAATGTATCCTGCATACACGCTAAGCGCTAAAATTGTTAATTGCAATCATTTACAAAGGCACTCCTAATAAACTCTAGACTAATTACAACTCCAAAAAAGAATCACAGAAATGTATATTTATATACACAGTACATGATAATTTTTATTGCATTTAGAATCATTTTCACAAATGCGACGTAAAATAATTAGAGGTAATGATTATTAATATATAAGATGTAGAGAAACGGTAGCTGGTAAGAGCATGACGACGGGTGCGAATTCAAACCATGTCATTTCTAAAACTTTGTCAACCGCATAAGTATTGCAATATGATTTTCTTTTGACAGTAGTAATTTTTATACTAGATGAATCTGATTATGCTTCATATAAACCGGCTATTTTAACTGCCCAGGAAAGTGCGGCTAGTTTGCGCAGACAACTCATAATCCTCGACAAGTATTCGTATATTTTATCTGTCATCCTAATAGAACACTTTTTTCGACACCTACATACTTAAGCACAATGCACATACCAGTGGAAGTACCTATACAGGGGGAAAGGGATTGTAAGTACTAGGATCTAGCAGCCCCCTTACTAGCAATATAGTCTATCAGATCGTTCATTCGGTTCCCCCTGGAAACCATCATGATTAATTCTTGTGGAATTCGTCACGATGGGTTAACCTGCTTTATTTCTCACCTATCATCTCTTAATGGTAAGTGCTCCGCCAGCGTATACCGACAGCGCAGGCGGCGTTAACATTCCAGTCTTACCATATAAAAAAAGTACCTATGCAGATTTTTTAATAGCTACGCTTCGGTCCCGTAACATACAACTAAAATAAACCTAGCCTACACGCTAAACTCTAGTGTGTAGGCCAGACTAGACTAGAAAATGTACTCTATTGGCTAAAGTACCTTTTCACAGCTAGGCAAAAGTCGATTTGAGAAGTCGAACAATCTCTTTATTGACGGGGTTAACGGCGCTAACGGGGTACGCTGGAGGGGCACCAGTGAAGGTAAAAGGTGAATATGCAGGTAAGTTAGCCCATCGTGATAAATACACCTATAAACCTATACAATGGTTTTTAGGAGGGTCCACGTGGAGATCAACCTGACAGGGTATATTGCTAGTAATAGAGTCCGCATTACTAGCAATCCCTTTTCCCTGTCAACCAATATAAGTCTCTCAAAAATTCATAGTTATTCTACAACTTAACTTTTTGCTTTTTTCATATGAGTAATTTATATCCTTGATTATCGGTAGATGTTGTAGAGTAGGCAAGAGGTATGATTCCCGTAGGTTTTAAATTGTGTTATTTGTATCTCTTAGTAATTAAGTTGCAGTTATTTTTACCTGGGGTAAACATCCACAATATTGTGATGACTAAGGTTGTTTTTAGATATTTTTATTGTTTTTTTTTTTTTTTTATCTTATTTACCACTTTTATACAAGTCTCACTCAGGTCTGGTTTAATTCGAATACAACTGAACTTATTTTTTTTTCTCTTGTTATCTAAATAGGGATCTACTTACCCTACGTAAATATAATACGTAATGTCAGTTGTAATCTTATCACCTTCTGCCTGTAGATGGCACAATTTTAACCCCCGAAACAAAAAGGGGGTTGTTGTAATCTATATGTGACATCATACCTAATTTCAAAATTAATGGACCGATTTCACTGCGATTTTCTACTTAATTTAAATGGGTCGATTATTAGCTACTCAGGTACCTACTTATGTTTGATAAAACTCTTCACTTGTGCTTGAGATTTTAAATTTAAAACTACAGGTACCCACTACAGGAGGAGAGTTTGACAAATTTGTTTGATCGTTTGCGACCTTGTCTCTCTCTATCAGCCAGATAACTATTAAATATTTACTTAGATTAAATAACACAGTACATATAATCTATTATGTAAATTTGGTATACTGTTACTCATATTTTAATAGGTAATATGGATTCTAAACATTTTTATTACATTATTTACTCATAAACATAATGTCCGGATGTTACCTTAGCTAGGTATCCATGGGCTCGACTCAACCCAAACAAGGATGGAAGGTGTCGTGCACCGATAACTGTCACGTACAAAGTCTTAGCAACGGGGTGTAAGGACAACTTAAACCCAATCTCGGGCTCTAAACTACCGCTGCCAGCTAGCTGACCGTCCCTCTTTGTATTTAAAATATTCTTTAGTTTGCTAAATGAAAATTCCATTGTAAATAAAATATTGTCTCCGTAATACACCACTGAGTGTCATGGGAACCGGTTTATGAATTAATTATCATTTAATGCAATTAAAAGCACAATAAGTTTCTTTTAGAAACCAATAAAAAGAACCCGTTTACATATTTATACACTAATAACATTAATACAAAACACAACACAGTGGCTACACTATACAATTGAACAACTAAACGATAAACGAAACTATTCGACCCAACCCGTTCAACTTCAATTGATTCACATGTTAGTATGAAGAACTATGCTATGACGTTATACGCAATCAACACGAGCGCTATCATGCTGTGCTAATATAACGTAACAACTTCAGGGTTATTGATATACATCGGATCTCTCTTTCACGCTTCAACACAATTGTACTGTATTACTATGTATTACCATAGCATGCTACCTTCATGCACAATAAAGGATCTTTTTCTACACGTTTTATACAAGCACAATATATGCCATCTATCGGAAAAGGATATGTAAACAGCAAATAAACAACAGATGGCGCTAGGTAACCAAATTAATCAATACTAAATTGATTTATAACAAGTGAAACAGTAAAATGAAGTCGCATATACAAATAATCTATAGAGCTAGTTTACTTTATTGTCATGTGTTTTATAACGTAACTAAGAAAAAAATAAGTAAGTACCATACTTGTACGGTACTTATTTTATATTCAAAAGTGAAGGAAATTTTTTTAACAATCACATAAGTACGAATCAAACACACATTATTTCTCAAACAAAAGATTCAGCCATCTTGTGAAAAATACAATAATAGAAATTATTTTTTTCTTATACCAAAAATTATACCCACCGACCTATAAGAGTCATGCCTCCAATAATATATATTAATTTAGATTATAAAAAATAAACACCAGTAGGTATAAAAATTTAATCATAATTTTATGCTACATTTCTCAAATCAGTCCATAACTAAATGTACAAATATAACCACTCTCTTTCTAAATATTACTATAACAATGGCAAAAATAGCAACTAACACAACGAATCTTCATTATTTTGTTCTGCATTTTTCATATTAATTTCCCGCGGTTCAAATTCTACATGTAACTTTGTACGATACGGTAAAAGTTCGCAGTCCATATTTAAAATCTCAAAATATAAAAAGTTACTCTACATTACCAGAGGGAGATTTTATACAAAAGTCGTTTGCTTGGGTACCTCTATCCCATTCGTGTTTCAACTGTAAAAGTTGTGTTTGCATGGCTGTGCGTCGGTTTGAAGTGTGAGATATGGCGTGAATTTACAGGGTACAGAGGAATAACACCTGAGTCCTCAGGAATAGCAACGCATGGGGGTTATCATGGGCGAATCAGTATACTCTATTATGTCCATGGTACTGCTCATGTCAATAGGCGATGGTTACCACTTTCCATCAGGTAGGCCGTCAGCTTGTTTGCCATTCTTAGTAGTATAAAAAAACATGAATATTTATTCATGTTTCGCAGCATTTAAATGGTAAATAATATAATAAAACATAAAATTGTAAGGACCAAATTGAACCTCAGATTAGTCTGATACTTTTGCAATATTACTGTTTTATATTCATTTACACTTTACTACTTCACTTTACACTTCATTCTAACTTGTTGTTTTCGTAAAACTGGCTTAGTATTTTAATTTATATTTGTAAATTACCCTGTCTTGGTAATCTCTTATGGACTCCCGCGATACAGGTTCGCCTAGTGCGGGGTCCAATGTACTCGCTGTTGTAAATTTCTTGTATTTAATAAATAAATATATACTAGAATTATAATAATTTTGACTTAGAAAATTAGATTAAATTATTTGTCTATTAAAAAATTAATTCATATTGATCCTTAAAATAAAAATTTCGTTGTGATATCAAATTGAGATTTTAATTTTAGAGATAAGTTTAGAGAAATAGGCCTCAGAATCGATACTAGTGTCTGTACATGGGAAATATTTAAGGACAAATACTATGAGGGTGTCTTAATTAAAGCAATAAAAGCCAATTTTTTTTTTATTTTGTCTGTCACGCAAACTGCTGTAACATGTTAACAGTTTCACACTTGTGTTCTTGCAGGTCTAATTTAAAATCTGGTGTATAAAACAGTAATCTGTGATTAGAGGGCCTACCATGAAATGTTTTCCGAAATTTCGGAGCCAAACGAAACAGAAATTTGATGTTAAAATTACATAAAACATGCCGTTTGGAAATATTAAAAATATTAAAATATTGTTCCTCTGGACTTTTATGATAGGATGTATGACGAACGAAATGTTAAACTCCAATTATTGGTCCGATTTTGGTATAAACAAAAACACGAAATTGAGTCCGAAATTTCGGGATTTCATTTCATGGTAGACCCGCTGGTTTATATTTTATCGAGAACGACATCTAGAAGTAGCCTATTTCATCAGGTTTCCATCCACGCATTCGAAGTTGCAATGCAAAGGTGAATATTACCTCTGCATTGCAACATGATCTTTTTACACAAATGATTCTAAAAAGTGTACACTTTACGTTTAGTGGAAAATTATTTGTTAATTCTAAAATATCTAGTATTACACTGCCATTTTCTATCTACGACTTGCGCAACTGACTCATAATTGTTTTTCTATCACCTTTCAGCTATCACCTGAAAATCAAACACTTAAGCAAACTAATTCAAAATTAAAACCTCTCTTGCAGAATTAATTAGATTGCTTTATTTCAATTCTGCACAGTAATATTGTTTTCTTTTCAACAATATTGATATAGGAATTTGTCTTAGGTCGTGAGTAAATAGGTTTTAGTTGGTATTAGTGCTCGAAGCTCAATTTAAACAAATAAAACAAACTTCCAAAATGCAGAACAGTAGTGAGCTGACAAATGTAAATAAAGCACGATTACATTATGAAATATAAATATGCATATCCTTTTTAGAAATCTTTGAGTTATCTCTAAATCCAATATGTTGCTAATCCTAGAACTTAGTTCAAAACTTGAGTGACAATGTAGCAAGTTAATTGATTTAATAACAATATATTGAATGTTAATTAAAATATTCATCGAATCAGGACTCTGCTTATAACGTAAGAAACACGATGATATAAATTTAAATCAATAAATAAACCTTTTAATTAATTACAATATCTAGAGAACTTAAAATTATACCATTATGTCACTATTATTAAAACAATGTGATAGTATTTAAACAATATATTATATTATCCGTTGCCATTTAAAAATATTAATTATAACTAATAACAATATTTTCCTATATAATCTCGAGACGAAATAATAAATAATAAGTTGGTGTTTTCGTAAAATGTCAAATGCTGTTTAATAATTAAAATTTTAAATGTTTATTTTTTAGTTAGTAGATAAAGTAACAGATGAAAAAGAAAAAAATAAATGTTATACAAAGTGCTTCAATGGTTCAAAATGATACATATATCTATCAATTTCTGTCTTACTTCTATAAAATATATGGTATTTTATAGAAGTGAGACTGATTTTATAGAAGTGAGATTGATATTGTAGCTGTCTAATTATATGACGTTGTACGCGACTGAATACCCACTTATATTAGTCATGTTTAAAGTAATGCAAGTATAGCGGGTAAGAGCAGTAAAAACAGATTGCAGACATATAAATTTAACTGATAAACAGAGTTTCTAATGAAGAGAATAAGTTATTTATTTTTGCAAAAGTGACATCCATTGTGCACCTTGTTAGCTCCAGTAGAACGATTAACTTGCCACTTGACGTCATACAAATAAAAAACAAAGAGAAGGACAGGTACAGCAGCTTACAGAGAGCGGACGTGTTAATACGGAGAAATTATCTTTGCTATAAACAATCCCTCTCTACTGTACTTAAATCATGACCAATGTAAATAGAATATACGATACTTCGGGTACTTGTTATATAAGCAGCTCGATATTTTTATCACGAGCTGCGGATAATACATAAAAAAAAACTAGTATAAAGTCAAACACTAAGATCTGGTTAGAAGTTTGGTGATAACTTCTAAAATGGAGTCATAATAGTGAATGATAATTGACACAATAAGAACGAGCATAGCAAAACAGATTCCTGTGATGTACATAAATTGGCTTGCCTCCTGTGGTGTAGCCAAGAGTTCTTCGCTGCTTGCATCTCTGTCTAGCGCGTCAAACTCCGACGTGTCTAAAATTATACATATAATTTTTCATTTCTATTTAAATTACTTATTATTAAGATACTTTGGTCCAATGTACTCAATTATTTTCCATCAAGACTTAAAACGATCTTGATGTTCCTAAATCCTATTCTATATTGTAATTAGTCAACAAAATTTATTGTTAATTTTTTTTTTTTTTTTTTATGAAAGTTAATATGAACTACAGCATGGGCATCAACGAAGTGTGCGTAATTTAAATTTTTACAATTTTTTCTATAATCATTTAACAACATTAAAGGTTGTCTGTAAGAGATTGCCCTCTCGATAAGACCATCTTTTATAGCTTTATGTGTATATTTCAATCTGTATTTATGTTATTGTATTTCACTTGAATTATTCACTTGTCATTGTATATTTTTGTTTATGGTGCAATAAAGAGTTAAATAAATAAATTAACAATTCATTTGGCATATTCCTTCATATAAGTCGACAACCTATTTGCCATATAAATAGTCAATATTGTATGGGACATTATTAATTTTTTTGTTTATCTTACCTGCCGGAGTTTCCACATCACAGACAACATCAGTTTCAGTTATCTGAAGGTCGAGTAACTCTCGAACTGAGAGTAACGCCTCAGCTGGAGCTTCACCAGGGAACAGATAGTCACAGAGGTAAAGTGTACCGACCGGTACTAAAACACGCCGTGGAGGTTCGTTGAAACATACTTTCTCTGTAAAAAAACAAAATTGAATTAAACATGTCATATTATTATTATTTACCCACAATCAAAATACCAGTCATGAATATAGGTCTACTATTTGCTACATCATCATCTGATCTGAAAATAATTTCATTCTGAAAATGACACTGAATCATAAATTAGCAATTACTAAACAATTTCAAGTAACTGATATAACTATAATTACTCGATTTTTTATTCTTCCCAGAATTTGATGGTATTCTTTTGTGTATGTAATATTATAATATGTGTCTACATACTTTGATATTATATTGTGGTGATAAAATAATGGCATGCTATATGCTACGCTATGCTACAATAAATTATAAAAAACGCCAACTATATCATACTAACAGTAATTCGCGAATTGGCTGCAAAAAAAAATTATTTACCTTTGTATAGTCATTCGAAATTATATTTAGATCCAATAATGTAAGAGAGACTCTGTTTTCCGCACTTAGCCTCTCATTTGGGCCGTTGTGCGTGCATATATATATATATATATATATATATATATATATATATATATATATATATATATATATATATTGTTCATATTGAACCTAAGGTTCAAAAATTGAAATCCCATTATTGTTATTAGTAGGATTACTAACCTTCTGGAAGTAGATTATCATCAATTAGCGCGTCACAATGCATCGTGAAGCGTGATGCGAGTGATCTTACTATGTCCTGTTTCACAGCAGCAATAGCTTCATTGATTGTTGCTTTTGGACACATAAACACGCTGGATGACACAACACCACTGAAATGTATGCTACCATCACATTCAAGGTACTCTACTGTTTCTGGCAAAGAATTCTCCTAAAACAAACATAAATATGACTGGACAAATTACACAGCACAATCTAGTCCCCAATTAGCAGAGAGCTTATACTACTACTACTACTAAACAACTGACAGAAGTGCAATTTTTTTTTTTTTTTTAATAACATAATTATGAAGAATTATTAGAAGTGACAATAATACTATCATGTAGAGCACACTCATCATGAGTTTCTACATCACATTCATTATATATGAAACCCCCTGACAATTGTTACTCATTGGATATGCATATTAGATAAAATAAGTACATATAAATCTTTGTCTAAACAAATATTATAAAGAAAAAAATAATTTTATTTTTGTTTATAATGGATAAATTCGAAAAATACAACAGATTTTAAAAATTATTTCACCTATAGAAAGCTACATAACCAGTGAATACTGTCTTATACTATGTTTTATTTTACAATAAAACTGAGTGAAACTACAAGGACGTAGACTAGTTATAACTATAATAATATAATAAACTATGAAACATAACAAATGCAATTTTATATTTTTACTTACAAAAGGCACAAATAAAGACACATGCATAGACTTCGCCATATCTTGTATACTTTTTGAGCTATTTTTAGGCTTTTTCTTCTTTATTAGCTGCTCCAAAGCTTCAGAACCATTTCTTAACTCTCCATCTATAAACATCACACTTGACTCAATTGTTTTATGTGCTGACTCCAAAATTTGCTAAAAACAGAATTAGATTATTAAACATTTATATAAACTGTCCAAACTGCTAAAATCTGAAGAATTTTGTGAATCATCTATATTTATACTAATATATACAACAGATGTGTTTGTTTAAAAATGCTAGTTTTTTTAAACTAATATTCAAATAAAAAAAAATACATTTGAAAGTAAAGTATTCAACATTTCAATATGACCACAGGCATAGCCATAGGATACAGCTATTTAACCATATAATATTCATGAAATCATGATGATGATTTCTGAAAATATTTCTTTATTTACTTTTTTTTTAGAAATTTTTATTTAACACTACAGATAATTATTTTTAAAACATTTTATTGTCCTTTAGGTTGTTATAGCTGTAAAAAACAAGCTGATGTCTCACCTTATTGAATGTATTTAGTAACTATCACCTATAGAATTCAAACACAAATATACATGTGATACCTGGGTATATGCATTGCCATTTCTAAGAGAGGATTAAGATATTATGCAATTTTGGTTATATATTTCTTATTGTATTCTATAATTGGAATCTGTTGGACACAGCATATAGATAACAGGACTGCCTTTTTTAATTTATAAAAATATTTAATAAATTTAAGACAGTATTATTCAATCATTAAGAGTTTTTCACAATATTTTCTTTATTATTATTTTTTATTTTCACTGCCATGCCATTATATCCCTCCCCTTAAAACAATTTACAGTTGACTCTTTATTACTTTTAAATTATGATACTGTGTATTATTTTGATGCCAATATATAAAAACCAATCCTACAAAAAGTTGTCATACATACTTGAAATTGATGCTTGACTGATATACCACTTTTCTTTACTATCACAGGATACACATCATCAAATTCATAATAACAATCTAGTCTCTGCCATTGTTGTGGTTTTGATAGAAATTTCCAGTCTACAGGTTTTATAATGGTGTTCTTAACATTAGAGCCCACTTCTACAGTCTTGCATGTAAGGACTTTTGTATTTGTAGACATATGTAGAACAAGGCGCTCATTTGTATATGGGCAGTTTCCATACATGTACTCATTGGCATGCAGAACTTTGTATGTGTAGTTTAAAATTGACCGCACTTTGCTGAAGTAATTGGGATCCTCAAAAATGTCTTCATCACTTGTTATGAATACACCTGTAAAGTGTAATGCAAGTTCTTGATTATAATGTCAACTTACAAAAGTCAATCAACAAATCAATGGTACACAGTTCTCGTTTATTAGATAGTAAGTAGCAATTTCACCATCAAGTAAATCTAGAATTGGAAAAATACAATTTGATGGAAAATTTTATTTTATTATTATTAGTCAAGTATTAAACTTATTGCCCTTTATCCATGAGAACTAAAACCTTTTATAAATCTATTTTAACTATTACATTATTTTATCATTTTCTTTTAAATTGGAGATTTAGTACAAAAGAAAGAGAAAGTTCAATAGCTAAATAGGTTTTTGAAATTTGATGTTTTTATGAATAGGGAAGATTATGTTCCTAAATTAAGTATAGTATGTGTTAAGTTAGAATAAAACCTATCTATATATTAAATTTAATTCAAATCTGTCCAGTAGTTTTGTGTGAAAAAGTTACAAATATCTATCTATCCATACATCTTTTCATCACAAACTTTTGTAATTATAATAATAGAAAGGAGTCAGATACTCTGCTCTATTTAATATTATAAATGTAAATATTTGTAAATGTGCTTTAATGTTTTGTTCCTCTATCATATTTATGTTATGAATGAAACATAAAACGCAGAGTCTATACTTTGCATTAAAACATTGGATACCTGTTACTTGTTACCTTGAACAAACATGCCTCCTGGCAACATTCTAGTGACATGTTTAGCGTGATCAGCAACCCATGCTTCCGAAACTCCCAAGAGATTTCTAACAGCCTCAGCCTTGTCAGACACAGAACTGTTTTCTGAAGTACTATCAGAATTTTTTTCCTCAGGCGTACGAGCCAAATGAATCACATTTTCTCGCGCCTCTGTAATCTAAAATGAAAAGTGTGTCGAATATTTTCGTTTTAATATTACTATAAACTCACGCTTTTTGGGGCAAGGCGAGCTTTTTGCTGATATAGGTATTAGCTTTCCTACCTCGGATATGATTATATTATTTTATAATAATGATTATAAATTTCATAATATAAATAAAAACACACCTGTCCTAATATCAATCCAGTAACAAAAATTTCCTGCGACGCATACTGCTCCAAATATTGAAGACAATATTCTGGTGAATATACTGTTCTGACCATTGTTATTTTTGGATTATATTAATGTGCGTAACATGAAAGTAACTCTTAGATTAAGTAGTTTATTTTTAATTAGCGAAATTATAGGAAATTTTAAAAAATCTAAAACAATAAATATTATTATTGAATTGTTGAGTTGACAAGTTGACACGAAGTTAGCTAGTGATGTGCCGTGAGAAGTGAGGTTAACTCCAATACCCACCTACACAGATAATATATGTGTTTCAAAGAACTTAATGCAAAAATATCTAGAGATTTCCATTTAGATTCATTTAATTCTAAGACAGAATCTCCAAGACGTGTGCTAAGTTAGTGGTTTTTTGATAATTTATTTTTGAGCGTATGATTCCAAATTTTTATTTTGTATAACTGACTACCTATAATGTTATTACTCTAAAGTTAGTTAATTGTAAAAGTGTTTGCGATATCATCTGTATTAGTTCTGTAGTATATAAATCTTGTTTTTATTTGTGAAAACCTGTAATTGGCTTTTTATCTTTAATGTTTCTTTTTTTTATTATGAAATGCAGACTAGTGTATAGAAAATGTGTATATAAAATTTTTGTACATTTTCATTATTAGATTATATATTCGACACAGTTTATGTAGAAAGTATGCAAGCAGGTTGCATCTGAATTTGGTAGGTAATTCGGCCGTATAACATTTTCTATACACTAGCCTGCAATTAATTTAAAAAAATAGCAACTGATAGTGTATCTGTCATCCTCTTTTTACTAATCATATTTACATAAGACGAAAAGAGACAACCATATGATTTACAGTTTTTATCATTCCTTCTATGTAATTCCTTGTTCTTAGGTTTTTAGGGTCATCTTAAAGAAATCGTTTAAGAGTATTTAAAATGGCCATTAATTTTAGTAACATAACCGTCCATATTTATATACTATAAAATTACGCCTTCACCTATTTAGCTTAATTTAAAACAATAATTTTTAATCTGGTAACACTGTCACGTATTGAGTTTTATGAAAAAGTTAAGCGGCTTTTTTAAACTATTTGTATGGAGGCACTATCTATATAAGGTTTGTAGGTACTCTTATTTATTAATCTTATATTGTGCTGGCTTGAGTGTTTTTATCTATTGACCCCTTAAGTAATTTGAATCACTCCAATTTTTACAAAGTTTTATACGGTATCATTTCTAAATTTATTTATTTTAAACAACAATTACAATCTATCGTTTATATATTTGAAATTTAGATTATATAGATAATCTCAAAAATCTACTTTTTGTCAGCTTATTGTCAAATTAGCCGACTCGTGTTTTACTAAGAATAAGTAATTTGATAGAAGGAATGATAAAAACTGTAAATCATATGGTCCTTTTTTCTTATGCAAATATAACTAGTAAAAAGAGGACGAAATATACACCATCAGTTGCTATTTTTGTCAATTCATGATGATTGATGATTTACAGTTTATATCATTCTTTCTATGTAATTCCTTGTTCTTAGATCTATATAATCTAAGATTTGAAACTATAAATATATTACTTAAATATTTCGAAACATTTTTTGCACGTGCAGGGTCGCCACTCATGAATCTTTATGCGCATCAGTTATCAGTTTTTCAAACGATATTACCAGCCCGTTGCCATTTCAGCATGCTTATCCTTTGGGTCATATCGTTCACATTGTTTTTTTTTTTTGCGGACATCCTCATTTCGGATTCTGTCACGTAAAAAATTCTGAGCATAACTTTTACTTAGCTTGCTGAATAACTTGAAGCTTTTGCATACGAGCAACGGTGTAGGACCATGATTCGGTGGCTCATCATTGATCAGTGTCAGTTTAACCAGTGTGGGTTGACACTGGTTAAAGACCTTCGTCTTCAAACTGAAGTATTTTCGATGAGATGTAGCGTAGTTTACCGTATGCGGATTCGTCGGTTGACCTCTTAGTCAAAGTTGGATTTACTTAGTGGGATAAGTTATCCGACTGTATTTGATTATATGCAATTTATGAGGCAGCTTGATGGAGAAGACTGAGGATAATGTATTAATTGGGAAATGAGTTGAAAAATCAATTTTATTATGTTAGTAAGATTCGCGCTTGAACTTACCTGATAAATAATGACAGTATGATGTATAATGAATAAAGTCTTACATTTATTGTATCTATTACAAATATTATAGGATGTAACATTATTAATTTTTCGAGCAAATATAACACAACATTTAGGCCCAATAACATGTCATAACAGAATATCCAATATCTAGACCATTATGAATAATTTTTTAAAATCGATATATACTGTACCCCCATTTTGTTATTAATAAGGTTAGATATTTACATTATATTTAATAAAGTACTGAAGTACTTCAGTATACAAAAAATAAATAAAACTATTTCGATAAATATTTAAATTATTTATTTATTAAGTTAATTATGACAAAAACTGAAACAGTGCAGTTACAGAATTATTCATAATTACAGTTTTCAAGTAGGTATACAATAAAACGATCATTTTAGTATACACTTACATATGTATATATCTACAACAGTTTTCAAGCCGAGGCAAAACTCTTACGTATTAAAAACCGTTGTAATTTTATCAATATTCTGGCTATGTGATTCCAATCCGGTTTCTTTGAACGTTTTTTATAGTTCCTAATATAAAAATAGTGGCTAAAGCAAATTTTTATATTAATGACTACATCAACTCAGAATAGAATACTGCATGAGTGACGTCATTACTTATGTTCAACTGTTAAGTATAATGATCATGTTCAGTGTAGATGTACTTTCACGTAGTGCAATTAATATAAATTGTTTTGCAAAATAATATCAATATAAGAAACTACAAATACACCGCAATTTCAGTCATAAATTAATGATGAAAATACATAATGTATTTTTGTAGGCAAAACAACTTGTTTAACAACGTGAAACCATGATGCAAAAACTGAAAATTGATTGCCATTAGTTTGCACTTATAAATACTAAACTTAATTAAATTTACACTTGGAGAAATCCATTTCTGGGTGTTGTTCCATGAATCTGCGAATAAAATATACCTCTTTTAAAAACTGCAAAAGTATGAAAGTGAATCCATGAAGTTCACGACTTGTTAAAATAAAAATGTTATATTTACTCGTGGTCGAGAATATGCCTAGAAAATTCTAGGTATACCTCCATATATAATTATTTTTACGTGTATAAATAATTACACGTAAAAATTATTTATATGGAGGTTACATTATATATGGAGGTATATCTAGAATATCATTCATTGTTAAAATCTTGAGATTATTTATAAAGATATAATTTTCTTACATAAAAACATTCAAAATGTTAGCTGTTAACGTCATATTGTGCAGCAAATAATATGCATACACGTGCAAAATATAATTGTGGACAATATTTCTATAAAATCCCTTCTATATTTTAAGATGAAAATTTGTTATATTTGATATAACTGTAAGGCATTCTTGTCCACGTACTATAAATCTCAACGTATCAACCATAAATGTAAATACGTGTAACAAATTGATAATAACAGTACAAACAATTTCCTCTTAAACATTAACCTCACGAATTCATGTGGACATTTAAATATATTTGAACATTAAAATATAGTTGGCTAATACGACGGAACATTGAGCTAAAGAATCTTTAAAAAATGTTACTAATACTTTAAATGTGAAAGTTTGTTGGTTACCTTTTGAAGCCTTAATGAGCCCCAATTCAAACATATATATTTAATATTGGGGATGGGAAATTTGTTATCAATATATTCTAAAAATGACAATTTTGGCAAAAATAACTATTTTGATCTAAAAACTAAGTTCCTGAACCGAATTTGATTAAATTTCATTGAGACCAATCTGTAAGTATATCTATTCAGACAAAAAATAAATTTTATAAATTGGTTTACAAATAACAGAGTTATGAGGTATCAAACATAAAAAATACAATCAAATTGAGAATCTCCTTTGATTCCTCCTCGATTGAAAAAACATTAAGTGAGGCCAGGTTAAATCGAACTCATAATAAAAAAAATTACGTATGCTACTAATGCAGAATATAAAGTTGTTTATGCGTGGATACATTTAAACATCTCTATATATTTTTACATTTGTAATATTAATAGGTAGTAGGTAATAAGAACAACTATTTATGGCAAAATTAAAAACAATAAATAGATAATAAGAACGCCTTTTGTACTTCATATGTGTAATATATATACTAGCTGACCTGGCAAACGTTGTTTTACCATATACATTATTTCTAGAACTATACATAAAAATTCATCGTACTGCAATTATTATATTCGATTATCATCTTGAAACCCTATTGCCGAATATAAAAAAAAGTGATTCAAAAACTGGGGTTGATCGTAAAAGGGCGAAAATTTGAAGTTGTATTTTTTTTTATACAACTTAGAATTGCAAACAAACTGACGGCCCACCTAATGGAAAGTGGTAACCGTCGCCTATAGACTTAAACAGTACCATGGACATAACAGAGTTAATGGAACAGAGTTAACAGACATTATGGATATACTGTTTCGCCCATGATATCCCCCATGCGTTGCCATTCTTGAGGACGCAGATGTTATTCCTCTGTACCCTGTAAATTCACGCTATATCCCACCCTTCAAACAAACACAGCTATGCAAAAATAACTGCTTTACGGTTGAAACACGAATGGGACAGAGGTACCCAAGCAAACGACTTTTGGTCTCCCTCTGGTTTTTCAATGCTAAATCATAATAATATAAAAATAAAAAAATTTGTCAAGAAAATAAAAAAGAAATTTAGATGTATAGGTCACTCTTATCATTGAGGGATATGAAAAATAGATGTTGGCCGATTCTCATACCTACCCGATATGCACACAAAATTTTATAAAAATCGGTAAAGCCGTTTCGGAGGATTTTGGTAACACCGTGACACGAGAATTTTATATATTAGATTTTGTTGTATTATTCTTTAAATGGTGCAGTAAAGAGTAATAAATAAATAGATATGTACTTCCATGACATACCCACTGTATTATTAATTGTCGGTTTAACTTACTTTTTGAGGACGTCTTGTTTCTTTTGTTCGTCGCTAGTGGGAAGGCCCATCTCTTTTTGCCTTTGGTCATACATCATCTTTTCAACAAGGCCTCGGGTTTCCCCATCTAAGTCTGATAATTTGGATGGTTCTGAAAGAGACATATTTAAATAAAACTAATTTGTTTATTTTCAGAATTACAACACATATAACAGAGTTTGATTCTTTTTTTTTTATATTTACTCGTACATTGAATATACCAGCAAATATGCCAAAATTAAGAATAAAGAAATTAATAAAGTATTATGTTACATATAATAGTAAACGAGTAGAGTAGTTAAGTCAGGCAGTGAGAGATAGAATTGTCAGTACTCTATGACTGTATCTCTCTGTATTTGAGCGATCAGCGATCATTTGGAAACTTTTTAAAATCTAATAAAAATGTGTAAAAGTATTAACAGCTAACTGAAGTTTGACTGACTGATCAAAGCACAATTGAAAGTGTTGCGGCTAGTAACAATTTCCATGAAAACAGAATATATGTTTTGCATGTATAGCTGCATAAAACATTTAGTAACTAGTTAATTTTAAACTTTCGCGTTGTTTACACATATTTTAAATACATAATCTACTAACTATATAAACAGTCAAAATATTTATTACACTTGTAGATAAAGAGATAAAAATAGGAAAAGTTTAATCACCTGGATTTATTTTTCTAGTAGATATTTCTGGATCCGTGGTAACTAATCGACTCCACCAATTCATTTTGTTCACCTATAATGGGAATGTACATTGTTACGAACTACCGAATTGATCATTAACTTTAATAGGTATCTGCAAGAACATTTCATGTAATAACAAAGTTATGTTTAAAATAATTATACTGAGCAATTTCAGAAAAGTGTTACAAGGTTTATTTTATGACATTTGACAAAAAACTTGTTAGAGATAAGAATTCGTTTTAAATTTACGTACACATTAGCACAAAACCAACATTACTGACTAAATTGGAATTAATATTACAGAGACAAACAAGTTGTCGGAACGTGGTGTCTATTTCTAAATAGATTAAAAACACCATAGGCAATATTCTATAGTGTAAACAAGATATATTACACAATTATATCAATTTCTAACTATGGTAACGAATATCAACATACCTTTTCCAAATTGACCAGTAAGTTGCGTCCATCCTGTAGAACCCAAGTGGATTCCTCCATTTTGACATCGGCGTCGAGCTCACCATCGATGATGAGGGGTTGACCTTTGACGCCGACCTTAAGATGTCGCTTACTTATGATCACAGTGAGGTCGCGGGGACGCAAGATCTGCCGTAGAGGAACTCGTAACTGTGGGGTAGGAAAATAAGCCATCTTCATAAAAAATAAAACAAAAAATGGAAAACTGCAATCATAATTGTAATGTTGTCATTCACAATGTAATAAAGTTGTAATGCAGTCATATACATATGTTTATTCTCTCCTTTTCATCATCATCTATCTATTTAATTTTATATCCACCTATTATTAAAAATACAATGGTAAATTTCTGTGAATATGTCTACCTATCCCCACCATAAAAGGCTATAATCGTAAAAAACTAATGCGGATGAAGTCAGGGTATCATTTACCTGGTTAAATTTATCCAATGGATTTCTTTCAATATTGTACAACGAAAAAATATAGTAACCGAAATCAGTTATTTTATTTTATAATAAGAACATTCGAAACATACAAAATTATATTCTTTGTTTATGAAGCACGTTTTTCATGAATTATTACCTACCTACTACGTTTCATGTATTTAAGTACGAATTATATGCAATTCACTTCACCCACATAAACTTTATTATTCTCATACGTGATGGTTACAGTATTTCCTAATAATGACGTAGTAATGTTACGATGCTATACATCAAAGCCCTTATTGCCATCCGAACTTTGAACAAGACCATTTATCATTTACGTATACCTGCGTATGCGGATATAATTATATTAATAATTATATTTATAAAGAAAAACTTTAAGGTCAATAATTTTCAATAAAATCCAAGTGAAATGTGACAGTATTTCATAACATCGATTTTGCGTCACATATCTCAATGCAATTTAAGAAGCATGATACGGCAGTGACTTGACTACAATTAAAATTTGTCACTTACCTATAATAAATACCTAAACAGAAATACTTATTCAGTGAGGTTATCAAATTTTAGTTTGGAATTTCCATATTAATTAAAATATGAATAACTTCAATAAATACATCTTATAGATAGTTCGTAAATTGTGACTAATTCATAATTGCTACTTGTTAAACTAAATAAGATTACTTAAAAGTAGAATTAGTAGACTGTATTTAAGAAATTTTCAATTCATACCTTAAAAGAGTTGAAAAGAAAGTAAAAAAAATTATATGTGAAATGTTTTAGATTCATCACAATAATAATCAGCATAATGATTATCCTATTATTACATGTAAATAAGGTCCTTTTTTTTAATCAAAATATACCACGTTAAAATATTACACTTATATTACCGGATGATAGCAGTTACTAAGTTTTCTCGAACAAGACAGGTCAAACAAGACGCCACCCGCGTCCGAACATCATAATAACATGCATAGAATACGGAATGAATGACTCTAAACTAACAATAATTATGTTTCACAAGAGGACCGCCACGAAAGAACGCGAACGACAACGAAGGCGTGATGACCTCGCATTCCTGGCAAGGACGATGTTCATGAATATACCCGCGTCTCCGCACAACCGGACTAGGCTGTATTAGTTCTGATTCATTTATATGACATTTGCTACACAATTTAAAAAATATTTTTATACTATCACGACGCCAAGTCCCTTGTGGTACATAAACGGAGAATTGTTTCTTTTTTTTATTCTTCTCTATTCTTATATACATCTTAATAAATATAATATTATATAATATAAATAACTTATCTCGAGATCGTGCACACATTCAAGTTCCGGAGATTCACGATTCTATTTTAGCACATTTTACAAATGTGCATTCTCGAAATGTACCCCACTTCCATATCAAACGATTTTGTATTCCGGATCTTCCATTGTAGTTGAAATTTTAAGATTAACGGTGGCTAGGTAGAGTTTCACTTCCGCGAGTTTTAAAAGTTTAGAAACTACAGATTTAGAAAATCATCAGTAAAAACTTGTGTTCTTTTTCCCAAAGCTAGAGAATACGTTTATTATGTCCGTCTTGTGCTCGCAAGTAATGTACCAATGATTAAATAAATAATTTATTCAATGTCTTCAAGTTCAATAGCTTATTTAACACATAAAAAAGCTGTTTGATTTCAATTTGTTGACATGTAATACAATGTCTATGAATATAGTCATCCATATAATCAATTAATAATATTATATTTTAGAATGACCGTGATCATTATTCAAATATTCAATGACGTATGATAAAAAGAATGAACGTAGTTTCATACAAAAACAGTTTTAATACTCGCACTTATTAAAAATAGGGACCAGAATGTATTTATTTATTTCATAATTTTTAGAAACTTAAAATGGGACCTTGTAGAGTTTCTTTAAAAAATATTTTTGGAAGATATATCAAATATGTAAGATCATAGCTAGATTAGCAAATTATGAAGTTATTTATGCATTATTAATATCATTCTACACTTGATCAGTTTTCATTCCTGCCCTGTATTACACGCCTATTAATTTTAATTGAATAAATAAATTTATATTTAATTAAGTTCATGCAAATTAACACATAATTTTGACTTCGATAAAGTTCGGTATGAACGCTCTAAAAATCATTACATTCATCTCAATAACTAATAATATTCATGGAGAAGTACCATAAGCGAAAGCGACCGTGTTCAATACTCTGACCAACCCCGAAGAGCTGTTGTCTAGCCTTTATAATTTTATGTAATGACTTAACACATTGTCTGTTTAATATCTATACGCAACGAAAACGAATACCGTCTCAATTATAACAGTCACGACTAACGGTTTAACGTTATATAGTACTGAGAATTATAAACAAGTTGACGTGCCGTTGCCTATCATCGTCGCTTAGAGACATGCAATAGTGCCATGGCCATCGCAGATCATATATATGTCGTATATGGCACCCTTCATGTGTCATGGCACTGTAGAATATTAAGGTTTATCCCTATGTTAGAGTTTTCACTAGTCATCTTAACTCTCTTCGACTATAACACAAGAATACACACAGTCAATATTAAGAATCAAAATGTAAGCTACGAACTCCTCTAAAAAGGTTCATGTAATATATTTCACATATAATATGATCAAGCTATTTTTTTTTTGAAAATTTTGAATTTTACAAATAGGTAATATGATAACACTATCACCAAACCTACTCTAGACACTAGTATTCGAAAACTTAAGAGACTTCATGGAAAAAGTTATTTAAATAAGCGTCTTTTTTCATTACAAACGATTTCAAATATTATAAATATAAGAAGAATGAATTAAAACAAAATCTAAAGTAAGTTGTCACCCACTGGCTATTGCTAGTGGTAGAAGTCACTACAACTATGTATATGAAGATAATTATACTACCTAATATTGTAACAATGCAAAGGTAGTGATTATCTAATCTCCTCTAATGGTGTGGACTTGTTATAAGATTTTGTAAAAAAAATATATGATGTTTTATAAATATATACACCTAAGTAAAGGTATTTCTATATTTCTTTGATTCAGCCGTAAGATAAAATGCATGCGCCTTTTGTAAACTGTATAAATTTTGAATGCAATAACTAAATAACACTCAGCGCTTTCAGTTTTAACAAAGACACTATTAGTGTTAAGATTTTAAGAGATTACAACATTTAAATACAAGTTTATTCCAGTCAAGTTAAAATCATGTTTTGTAAAAGATATCTAGATACCAAAATAATAATATATTGTTATACCTAGAACAGTAATAAGTACGTGCAGGACTACAACAAGTACAGAATAATAAATTGTTTGCCGCCGGTTCACGTTAAACGTTCGAACGTATATTAAACTTTATATAACAAATGCTTTGAAAACATTGACACTAATACCATAATATTCTTCTTAACACTTTCTTAAGTTAAACAAAAAATAAAGACAGTAGTAACAACTAATGATATACCAAACATTCACACAAATTCATAAACGATATAAAATTCAGTAACGGTAAATCCATTTTGATCTCGGTAACGAACGTAATAATGTTTTATTATGCAGTAGATACATATGGTGGTTACATATTTATATTGTTGTTGATAATAACTATTTTTAATTAGTTACTACACATTACATAAATAAAATATAAGTTATAACGGTTTATCATATACAATAAAGTACAATAATTTATAAGTAACTGCATATATCCTCATCTTCCTACCCTTATCCCAATTATTATTTGGGGTCGGCGTAATATGTTTTCCTCTTCCATTCTTTTCTATTCCCAGTCATTTCCTCATTCACTTCTGTTATGTATTTATTAGAGATGTCTAATGACAGTTGATATTTGGTGTACTGAGGGTAAAAGATAAATAAATCAGTTTTGCTTATAATCTCAACTTGGATGTATTCTTTATTGGCGACGAAGTAAATAAAAATTGTTTATTGTGAAAATGGCAGCAACTGTTTCAAATATTGTGTTTCCTGGACAATTCAACCCAAAGACTGATAAGTGGTGTGATTATAAGGAACAGTTAATGTGTGCGCTCGACGCGGCGGGCGTCGGTGAAGATAACCTCAATAGGGGCCGATCACTGTTCCTTTCTCAATGTGGAAAAGACACTTTTGCATTAATTGCATCGCTTTTAGTTCCAAAAAGGCCTACAGAAGTACCTTTAGTGGAAATTTTGAGGGTTCTAGATAGGTTTTTCGAACCAGAAATTAACGAAATTCTACAGGCGGGAAAATTTCACAAACGACAACAGTTACAGGGAGAAAGTGTACAGGACTATGTGGCGGCCATCAGCCAGCTCGGAGCTAAGTGCAATTTTATAGACTTGGAACGCCAGTTGAGAGACCGACTAGTGCTGGGGGTGCGGGATGATCGCTTACGATGCGACTTATTGAAAAAGAAGAAAATAACTTATGAAGTTGCACTACAAACATGTCTGGACTATCAAGTGACATTCCCTGATTTGTACCCTGCCAGTACGTCTAGCGAATCAAAGCAAACTCCGTTAAACGTCACCGATTGTGAACCTATGGACATTGGCATTGTAAAATCTAATGAATGTCGACGGTGTACACGCGGTCATAAGCCAGGCGAACGTTGTCCATTTTGGAAAGCAAAATGTTTCTATTGTAAGAAGTTTGGACACATCGCGGCGGCATGTGATAAAAAACCGGGCCGCATGCACCAGGTTAACGAGACGGGGGAATGTGGCAGAAGTGGTGATACGGCAGTAGAGGAAATGATGGGGATCTATGTTTGTACTGATAATTATACACCACCAATAACGGCAGAGGTCATAATAGACGGTGTAAAATTATTAATGGAAGTAGACTCGGGGGCATCACGGACCATTATGTCGGAGGAGACATATAAGAAGCTCTGGTCAACACCTCCACCGTTAAGAGCCACTACTTTGAAGTTGGTGACGTGGACTAGAGATCCAATAAAATTGTTGGGAGTAGCAAATGTGCGGGTTATATTAGCGAACAAGGAAGCACAGTGTGAACTTGTAGTAGTGTCAGGAAATGGTCCAAATCTGTTAGGCAGGAATTGGTTCCAAACACTAGGACTTCAAGTGTCTGGTTTGTGCTGGTCGGAAGAGGATATAATACTTTATAAAAGGGAATTTCCTGAATTATTTAAAGAAGGATTGGGGGAGTACAAGGGCCCTAAAGTATCGTTACACTTACGGAAAGACGCGACGCCGCGTTTCTTAAAGGCTCGCGCGGTACCATACCCACTCAAACAGAAAGTGATTGAAAAACTGAATAAGATGGTAATAGAGGGCGTGCTAACACCTATTCGATATTCGGAGTGGGCAACACCATTGACACCAGTGATGAAAGATGACGGGACAATACGGATGTGTGGCGATTATCGTGTGACAGTAAACACCGCGATAGATACAGACACGTACCCCCTTCCAACGGCAAATGAAGCGTTTGTAAGGTTGAGTGGGGGTAGAATATTCAGTAAATTAGATTTAAAGCAAGCGTATACACAGCTAAAAGTTGACGATGCGACTGCAATGCTGTTAACACTCAACACTCCAATTGGTTTAATGAGAATGAACCGTTTACCGTTCGGTGTCAATGCGGCGCCAGCTGTTTTTCAACGCCTGATGTCAACGGCGCTTGCAGGTATGGAGGGCGTCGCTTGTTTATTGGACGATGTGACGGTAACGGGATCCACCATTGAAGAACACAATCACAGACTTAGAGAAGTGCTAGGTAAATTGCAAGAAATGGGATTTCGATTGAATGAAAAAAAGTGTGTTTTTGCGGCGAACAGCATTACGTTCTTAGGCCACATGATTCATGCGGAAGGCCTCCACCCGGCATGTCTGACATGACATGTCGCCCATCTGAGTTAGACAGTCAACTCATGAAGGATTCAGATTCAGAATTGACACCGGATTCCCCCATATTGATTCCACCGCCTGATTTATGGCCAGATATTATAGGAATACCTAATTAGCATTTCATTATTGTGATTGTCAATTTTAAAATATTATTATGTATCTATTGATTTGTAGGATAGAATCATTGCTTTGTAAACCAATCAATATGAGAGAAAGGTATGTTATGTATTTATTAGAGATGTCTAATGACAGTTGATATTTGGTGTACTGAGGGTAAAAGAACTTCCATTCTGGCCATATCGTCTTTCACACAATCCATCCATGCCTTTTTAGGTCTTCCTCTGCTCTTATAGCCATCTACATTCATTCTTAATACCTTTTTTAAAATATGCTCCTCATTCCTGCGCATCACGTGCCCATTTCCTATCACTGGCGCTACTTTCATACTTCCTCTGATATAATATAACAACAAAATCAAACAAATACAAGACTAGCTATTCCCACCAGCTCCGTCCGCATAGATTTAGATATTTACTATTTCCCAAGACAATTTAGGAAAGTTCTTTCATTGTGATCACATTCCATATGATAGATACAGATTCTAAAGTCAGCAGTTTGGGCCATGCGTTGATCTGCCAATCAGTTTCTCCTCTTTGTATATAATTAGATAGATTTGTAGTCATTATCGCTAATAGGTTGTATGCAAGGACAGATGTATTGTGAAACAGCATACCGCTTTGTAAGTTCAATTGATTACGATGTGTCAAAAGTAGGAGGACGTTCAAATACTGCAAACCTGACGCTATAATTACATTACAATTAAGCTCGAACCGTGCGTGCGACTGAGAAATTAAGCAAGCCTCCAATCTTTTGTTACTTTGACGAATAACTTCTATAAGAACCTTGTAGCTACTGCGTTCAATAGCGTGGCGTTATATACCTTCACACGATCGTACGCTGATTACGGCCCCATTTTAATGGAAATTATATGAAAACATCGGATTAAAATAATGGGAATATGTGACATGCCCAAACTATTTCTATATTGTCATTAATGAAAAACCAAACCTATTATTATACATCAATTGTGAGCGTGCTATACGGAACTAATTACCATAGATCACATTATAAAACTCACTACTGTAACTTGTGTGAGAATGGCGCCCTCTGGTCTTTCTAGGCAACTTCTGTTTAACACGAGACCTCTGAGGTAGCTTACCATACCACACCATATCAGCCGTTAATTGTTCCCTGCTAAACATAGGCCTCCCTTCTTCTATTGAGAGGTTTTGTCAGTAGTTGTTATACTATATGCTCACATACATACTTAAGATTCCGATTATATCATGGTTGTGTAAATTTATATACACCATACAGTCGAAGTCACGGGATTTAGTTAGTAAAGAATTGATAATAATCCTACAATGTTATTCAAAGTGCGACGCGTCCTCGCTTGGTTGCGCAACTCATCGGCAACGGGGGCTGCGTCACATAACCCCCAAAGTGCCTGATGTGCAACGTGACCCAACAATATTTTCTATCCGTTTTCCTGTTTCCAGTCAGGTAGCAATCTATTGAACAGTCTGACATGTGTCTGTGTGCTAGTGTACAGAAGCAACTTGTGACTACTGTCTTAACAATAACGGTTAGTTACAACCTTACAACACAATTTTTCTGTTTATTGCTCTGTGTATAAACTCTACTTGAAAATAAGTTTAGTAGCTCGTTGAACTCTATAGAACGCACGAACTCAAAGAGAAACACAATATATTAATGTTAATTATAATTGCGGTATAAAACTAATAATTAGGTGATTACGCTTTTGTTTATATATTTCATGAAATTTTTTAGTGGATAAAATATTATAAAAACAACGTATGGGAAGGTGAACTAGACGCGCCAATAACTTTTTATAACTGAAAGTCTGTTCGTGCTTGATAGTGCAACAGGTGATCCAGAAGCAAGTTTTTAACTAAATGGCTATTGTTTCATTAAATAGCCATAGCATAATAGATAAATAAAAAGCTTGATTGGATAAATTTCAATAAAATCAAGTACTTTTCGTATTGTACATTTAAGTTTTATGATATGAGAAATGAACAACTCTTTACCCCTTTCATCCAAATAAGACAATTTTATGTAGGTTTTAGTAATAGGTTAATCAATTTGTGATGATTTCAAATTTATAAATTAAATTATAATCAGCAGTACAGATAAGCAAGCAATAACAGAATATATATATGTAGCACAGTATCGAATTGAGTTCTTTAACTGTGATATTGCTATTCAGTATTCTTGTTTTAACTTTAGGAAATGGAAATTCGATAGAATATTCTAGAAAATATTTTCCCTAAGTACTTTTATACGACTTAAAACATCTTTTTTTTTCGATGCTATATTTTAAAGATTATACGAGTTATATTACGCAAAATCTCAGATTTTGATAGTCATTTGTTTACTCGTTAAAATTTACTCCCATGTCGATCCCATAATATTATTTTTTTATATAAACTTTTTTTCTGTGCAACAAAATTTTAAATAATCTCTTTATTAATTTATTTAATTAGGTAATTAATAATAATAAATAAGACTAAAAATTTTTAGTAAAAGATTTAAAATAAAACTTTACGTGTATAAATTTTCGTCTCGTATATGTAAAATTGTAGTTTGTTTCGAATCAAATAGCTACGGGGACAATAAATTTTTAACAAATATAAAATTTGATACACTATTTCTTAATAAGGGTGCTACTATCGAAAAAAAAAAAATTAAATTGCCTCTGTAAAATTCTACCAACATATATCACTTATTCTTCATCTACTTACAATCTTACATAGTCACCTCTAAATACTACGATATTCTGTATATACTGTTACGGATATGGCTCTTCATACTAACACATGAGTAACTATTGGTTATGCACACGTATATATTTTTTTAATAACCCTTATATCTGTAGAGTAATTGAGCAAATGACAAGTATCATTTTGCAAGTTCTAGCAAATATACGATGACACAAAATAATTAAGATATTTAGCTCAAGGCTACTCTATTAACAAATACCAAAAAAGTATTAAAAATATGTAAATGAGAAAAATATGCATTCATTTAAATTAAATTTCTACTTTATGTCACATTCGTGTAGATTCTTTATTATAAAAAAGAGAATTGTATACGATAAAAAGAATATATAGGATGCTATGACGTCAATAGTTTATATCGAAAAGAGTATCAATATGCTATAATTATGCAAATATATAGGTACGTTTAATTACGTAGGTGTATAGCGTTACCACGAAGCAGTTTTGCGACTAGTTGTCGTATAGTTTATGCGTATAATACGAGTATATCGAACATGCGGAAACATAATATAACCTAGAGTAAGTACTTTGCAACTAAACGAAACACAACGACGATATAGTAAATGTCACTAGTATACGGTAGAACCAGGTAGAACGTAGGTACAGAGCTCCTTTGTTATCACATCATTTGAGTCATATGCAACGAAAATGTCAATTAAATATTGCATCAGTGAAGGATATCCTTACGAGTATTTATGTAAGTATTAATCCTTACTAATATTATGTGAAAGTGGGTTTGTTTTTTTGTTACCTTATAACGCCTTAATGGCTTAACAAATCACTATGAAATTTAGTATACACATACATATAGACATACATATAGGAGAAGAATGTAGGCTACTTTTATCCCATTCGGTAAACATAAATGTGGACGAAGTCAAAGGTAAAAGCTAGTGTTGTTATAAATCTCTTATATAACATCAAATTTCACCGTATTTATACATTTATATTAATAATCATTATCATCATCATATCAGCCGTTAACTGCTAAACCTAGCCTTCTCCCTATTGGGGAGTTTAGCCAGTAGTTGCCACGCTTGGCAAGCGGGTTGTAAATCACAATTAGGCTTTGGTGAAGTTTAAAGAGGAACGCTACTACCCATCCCTCGACCATTAAGTTTCCTTAGTCCCCTCTTAAGATACCCACGGAGAAGAAAATAGCCCATTCTATATCGGGACCACACGGCGATCTTAGTAATAGTAAGATAGAATAACATGCAGGTGTATATTATAGGCTGTATCAACATGTAAAACAAATAATTGACCTGACAGTCTGGCAATGTCTAATAGTGCTTTTAATAGCATTACCTAATCAAAAACAGATTAATGATTTGAAAGTTTTAATTTATTATTTATTTCATCTATAGACTATTTGTGTGATAATTTCAACAAAATTAGTTATTTCTTCATTAAATTCTAATATTTTTTCAATGTTCATATTTATATTCATTACTTTTATTGACACTGACTATATAGTAGGTGCACAAAGTAGTCCATGACAATATATCGTGATGTCGTGACCACTATATATATATATATATATATATATATATATATATATATATATATATATATATATATATATATATATATAGAATGCAAATGATAATTACTTAACGAATTCTTATAATTATAATAATATCTTTATTTGTTTAGTTGAAAGATAAAAATAACATTGTAAACATTTCATTCATAAAATATATAAAAATGTGTATCTCCAAGTATACAACGCATTTAATTATATAAATCCACATGTATTACATACAAAAATCAAGCTAAACTTCGTTGAACTGCACAGCACTAATCTCAACATGAACCCAACATCAATCAATGAGGCCAAGTCACATTGTATGTGGTCATCTCTTAGATGGGTAACCGCATGAGAATTAAATACTACACTATATAAATTGAACGCATACTTTAAAACCATCGATTGCGATTATCACTGTTACTAGATAACAGTCATAAGAAAATTATCGAGCAGTTTGATTATTACCAAACTGGCATTTAGTGATTTTACGATACCCTTTATATTTTGTGAATTGTTGAATAAAAAAATATTTACAAAAAAATTGTTTAGGTATTGTATGATTTTGTCAGGTTTAGTTATACCATTATTATTAGTAATTGGAAGTATGATAGAATAGAAAGGAAAAGATTTGAAATTTTGTTTTGTGAAAAATTATTGATTTAAATCTTTACCTATTATCGTAAATGCATTTTATCTTTTAAATATACAATTACAGTACTTAATCATAACAAACTCACCAAATTAATAACAAATATGAAATCATTAAAATTTAATCAGTAGCACATACAATCAATTTTGTTTAGGTACTTGTTGCTATTTAACTATTTTAACGTTAGGTCAAAAGTCAATATTATTAATGGAATAAAGAAATTATCAAATATAATATATTGCCAAAATTTCACACAAGCTAATAAATCACAAGTAAATGCTGTTTGTTAATGATATTTACAATGGCACTATCATCCATCACAGGTAAATTTTACCTATATTCTTATAACATAAATTCTCATGATCGACTATAATACGAATGCTATAATATTACTCACAGGTAAAATGTCACGTAAAATTATCTCTATGTATGTCTGCATGCAGGTTTCTTACGAGATAGATAGAGGCAACTGAAATCAAACAGCTTACTGAATTGGGTCAAAGGTTTCTAAGTTACAAGGTTTTTATATATTTAAAAGCATGAAAATAAAAGAAAAAATAAATACTATTAAGATGAAGATGCAATAAATAAAGTAAACCTTTTTAATTGAACACGCTGAAAATAATATATAAAAAAAATTTAAAACAAAGAATCTTGTACAGAAAGTCGTAATTATTCAAAAGAAGATATAAATACAACAAAATTTTACTCTTAAAACAGCCGTATTAATAGTGAGAAAATTAATATAAAACTAATAGGAGGATAGATCCCACACATTGCAAAAATAATTATTAAAATCTGTTCAGAATTGGCAAACATATCGCGGTACATAAAAATACAGACGAACTAATATTACTTAGCACCATAAAGTCTAGAACACTATCTATTAATTACTCGTAGTCTCAAAGTGGACGGTAGACAAAACAAGAATAAATAGAAAAATATTGTGTGCGTGTTGAACACAATATTTTTTTATTTATTTAATTTGGGTATAATAAGTCAACGCAAAGTCGCAAGCGTTATCTTTTTATTAACAACTAGTTTTTCGGCCGCTACTTCGTATGCTTAAGTTTCCCAAGGAAGAAAACTAATAAAATATACCACCTCTAGATGGCGTATCAAGATAATATTTTATCTTAAAACCAGTTTTTATGGTTGATTCTCAGGAGCACATTTATAAAAACTGCATCCAATTTGGTACAGTACATTTTTAACATGATACCGATAGACAAGACACCTTGTGTTTGTTCTTATTATGACCCCTCATATTAATTTTCCGCAAATATCTATTATGTATAGAAATTGTCTAGTTACAATTTTATATCTAAAATTCATATTTTACGCGAATAACGTAAATGTGACCATGAATTTGTGAATAACAAGTTTAATATGTAAGCATTTGAAGGAAATAAAATGCGTATAAGGAACCTTTTCCGGGAAATCAGTGATGATACACACGCCATGGCCAATTAATATGTAAAATTTTAATTTACGGCATGAAAATAAAAAAAATGAAAAATCACAGACAAAATCATACATCATATCATCATACAGTCTAATAATTATTATAATATTTTAAAATTTTGTTTTACAAAAGACTTTAATTGTTACAAAATTGGTAACGGAAAAAAAAAATCATTAAAACAAGATGGAAAATTAGCGCTAAGATATAGAGTAACATAAAAAAATACAGGTGTATGGGGTACAAGTGACAACATCCGTAGTGTAGTAGTGGACATTATTTTGGGTAAATAAAGTTCTGAAGGCCAACCATTAAATGTTTTCCGAAATTTCGGAGTCAAACGAAACACAGATTTGATGTTAAAATTACATAATACATACTGTTTGGAAATATTAAAAATGTTCAAATATTGTTCCTTTGGACTTTTATGATAGGATGTATGATAAACGAAATGTTAAACTCCATTCATTGATCCGATTTTAGTATAAACAAAAACACGAAATTGAGTCCGAAATTTCGGAATTTCATTTCATGGTAGACCCGCTGGTTTCATTTTTCGGTCGGGCCCGTTTATAAAACCAACTTTTCTGAAGTGACTGGCGTACTGAGTTGTGCCCTAGATATTCGTTACCTGGTTCCTCATAGGACAGGATATCCTAGTTTGAAGATCGGGTGATTGGTGTGATTGTGTAGCACTTATTATTATTTTTTTTTTCAAGGATTTACGTTGTATCACAATGTATAGTGAAACATTTTGTTTAAATTTTATTTGTCCAGGTATAATAAAAAAAAAACTGAACCTATTTTGATGCAATGCTAAATATAGTCCTACTTATAAGATGGAGTAAAAATTATCGTACTAAATTTTCGATTCAAAGTTGAAGGGTGCAAAAGCTTGATAATTTTAGAGACTCGCACTTCAATAAAATTGAGTTTATAAGAATAAATTAATGGACTAGTGTTAATATATTAATAAATTATAAAAAAACGGTTTTACGTTGGATAAGGGTATATTACACCACCAAAGAAACAGTTACATATAAAAATTCTACTAAAGACGTGTTCGATCATCAATACCAACGAGATATCCGGTCAAATCGCCAAAAAAGGCCGAGCGAATAATACCTAGCTTACACAGTGAATTAGTGTTAATACTTTAATACTGCATATAATATTTAGGTTATTGGAGGAACATGAAAATAACAAATTTTTCTAATTGTTACATTTATTATTTCAACAATGCCCTATGATTGGCTTCAATTTTAGTTCCCAAGGCATTATTTTTCGTTGTCACATCTGAATTTTGATTCGTTATATTTTAATCGGTATTGCTAGTTAAAGTTTTAAATTAATTATTATCAACGTAATGTGTCTGTGTATGGCTGTGTTTCAGTTTGAAGGGTGGGATATGGCAGTGAATTTACAGGGTACAGAGGAATAACACCTGAGTCTTCAGGAATGGCAACGCATGGGTGGTATCATGGGCGAAACAGTATACTCTGTTATGTCCATGGTACTGCTCATGTCTATAGGCGACGGTTACCGTTTTCCATCAAGTGAGCCGTCAGCTTGTTTGCCATTCTAAGTTGCATAAAAAATGTTTTACAATATATTGTATTTACTTATAGTCTTTGTAGGTATGAACAGAGGAATAACACCCGAGTCCTCAGGAATGGCAACGCATGGGGTTATCATGGGCGAAACAGTATACTCTGTTATGTCCATGTTACTGCTTATGTCTATAGGCGACGGTTACTACTTTCCATGAGATGGGCCGTCAGCTTGTTTGCCTTTCTAAGTTGTAGATAAAAAAAAGTGAGTTCCTTCAACCTTTTCACCGTATATTTTTATGACTTTAAAAATATAATTATTAATATTATCCTAAATATATAGTGTAATATCTCTAAGTAAAAAATAAAAGTGTAATAGGTGTCAGGGTAAAAAGACTTATGATATTGAGTTTCATTTTGGTAGACAGTAAAACTTGTATTAATTTAAATTATCAAATGATATTCTGATAATAATAAACATTAATAAAATTTCAAGAGACGTCGGCAGACTCGCCCTCACATCAAGTATACTTCGTGAAATATAGAGAAATTGAATGTAACGTTCAACACAATGAGAACAGTCGAGCAAATGTTATTTACTCTTTAGGGATAACATTTGTGAGCCAATTGTTATTATTTTATATGTAAAGCCTATTTCATTTTATACATTCATTCATATTATGTTTAATTACAAAAGTGCAAATTTTGTTGCACAGAACAGCGACTGCAACCTCATATATAAACCTTGGCGATTGTTGCAACACTCTCAGTACGACTCTAGTCGCTTTGCCGCTTGGAGCAGGCGCGTTTCACGACGCCGGCCACACGGAGAGGGCGAGAGAGGCCTAACTCGACACCGCTGACTGACGAGCCAACTACACCGACAGACATGTGGACCGAGTGAATGCAGTGTTCTGTGACGTAATATTAGTGAGCACCTATTACAGAATAAAACAATAAAAACGTGGTGGTGGTGGTGGAAACGTAAACAATGGATACCAAAACTACGGTGAGTGATAAACTAATTATTATACTGAAACATCTGAATTTAGCATCATGTAACAGTTAATTGTACAAGGCTATTAACTGATATAAATCCCGAAAAAATAACCTTTAAGAATAGATTGAGTAAGTTAAGGGGTCATCAATTAAGTAAAATTAGATATTTTTCACTACAGCTAAGCGAAAGAAATAACAGTGTGTACATACACAATTAGATGATAAGCAAACAGAATCCACAACGGTTATAGTCCATAAATTCCTCTGATTACCCTACAGTGGTGGGCACACTTTATATCAAATACTAGTTCAAATACAGCATCAACTTACGTTTTAAACGTATTCTAATTATAATAAATGGCTTGCATAATATGACATCTATCGTTGTTTCAAATTTGTTGGTAACGCGACCCTAAAATGGTTTTAAGTAAACCTAATTTCTCTGACAAAATTGCAAATTTATCAACTATTTGTTTCGTCATGTCAACTTTGATAAATTGTATGGTACCATAATATCAGGAATCGCGACTATATCCAGCATTAAACTATCGCTATATAGGCTTTTGCAATTGAAATGTCATTGCAATAGGACGTAGTATCAAGCGTTATCAGGCCAGTAATTTAAATCTTAACAATCTAAAAAAAAAACTAAGATTCTAGTAGCGGAATATAATAATACATCAGTTATTTAGCACTACAACAAAAATATGCATAGTTTAAATGAGATACTTATGAATTTCTCGCTTTCTCTTTTAAAAGGTTGCCTTGACCTGGTGCAATGGCTGTGAGTAAACACTGACTGTTGCCACTAACAAAACCAGCTCAACTCTTGGGAAAAATCAATTACTGATTACTAACAAATCGAATATTCACTGAAATAACTATCCAAGTACGCTTTTATAAAATAATCCAATATATGGTATTAACAATACAATCCTTACTAACTCTTTGAACTGCTTTAATATGGAAGGCTAATCTTTGCTATTGTTTAATTGATATATAAAAACGAAGGAAACATAAATGTAGTATCGAAACCTAAAATAAATTACTGATCAAACACAAGCACGTCTGTTAACAAAGTAGATCTTCAGTATAAATAGATGTTTTTTAAAACGTCTAATTTATTTTAAAAGCTATAAATATATACCTGTGTATACAATACCATTATCTGACATAATAATTAATTGGTAAAGATATTAATTACAATATAAGCTCTACTTAATCAAAGAGGAGGGATAAGGGATCGCGGATTGGCTTCGATCAACGAAGTTTAGCAAAATTGCATCGTCATTCAATATATTTTATATTTAATGAGTTATGTCCATCCTTTGCGTTCTCTACATTTATATATTTCTTGTTATTTCTCATCACAGAGACCTTCCACCTGATGAGTTTCCACTCGGGTGTAATTTGAGTTTTATTTTGGCAATGTACTGGTTTAATACATATGATATACATTTTTATTCCAGTTCGCCAATTATCTATACTGTTCTGCAAGTCTTAGTGATTTTTGCTAAATCATACAGAAGTAGTACGAGTATAAAGTATTATGTATCACTCGGAGAAAATTACAAATAACCTGTGGACTTGAGAAATGGTAATAGCGAAAAAAGTACAGATTACTATCGTTATGCCATATCTTGAATATTAAACTATATTATTTGAAATCCATGACATTGTCATGACTATGTGACCATTATTACTCTCAATCATATGAACTAACAGTTTGTTAAATATTGAAAGCTGCCCAAAACATATTGGTGATTAAATAACAATATGATGTAAGAAAACATTAAGTACTAATGACGAATATTGAATAATGACATTACAAAATCAATTATCACAGTGAGGGTAAGTAGTGTAAATACATACTTATTAATTACCACGAAATGACACAAATCGAATAAAACCCCTATTTATAAGTATCCTTATATTCATTTATAGGCGCCAAGTAACGAATACCAATCAAAACTGCTATTAACACTTCACCATAAATGTATTATAAATTCTAATATATGATTTCAACACTAATGGGAAGCCGACTTTTGAATTTAGTTGAAACGTATTAAAGACCGTTTTTAAAATTATTCGATGTCTGCATTATGTAATACTGGCAAAAACAATATACTATTATATCATAATAATAATAAACATAGGTATTATGAAATATAATGATTACTTTTTATAAAACGCATCTACTCATAAATTATTTAGTGTAATCTCGTATAATGCACAACAATGAATTGCCTGAAATATAAAATGATACAAAATCGTAAATTACTAATAAGGTCATCAATAATGTTTTTATGAGACAAAACAATTCTGGCGTCGATAAAACTTGTCCAGATCCGCATTTTGTATAAATAACTCCAAAAACAAACAAGTTTCCAGAATTGCGGATTCATTTGAATATTAATATACACAAATTTTTGCAATGGTAAATTTGACACTTTGTGTTACGCGTGCCGTTTAATAGTATTCCGGGTCGATTACCTTACTACAATACTGTCAACTTATATTTTTTTGACTGTAACATTTGTGAAACTAATGTTTCTAAATGTTTTACTGATAGATTAATATTATGTTTGCGTGGACTAAGTAGAAATAAAGATAAACTTATGCACTGTACTTACTAAAATAAATCTGGCCTTTTTGAGGATATAAATAATCATATGAATATTTACATGATGATTGTGTAAGTTGTGAATTGACTATGCAGTCATATTATAGACAAGTTAGAAGGTTAAGCATACGGAAGGGTTGTTTTGTTGTTAAAATTTATAGAAGTACCTACGTGATCACTTATACACGTGAATTCGAGAAATGTTGTACTAATGAATCTGAAGATTTTTCCCAAGACAGTATGGATAGAAAAATACAAAAAAAAAATTGAGTCGAAACAAGGCGAATCAGCTGCTATAATGTTATTTTTCGTCGCATGTTTTTTAAGCAAAATGCTTGGATTTTTTTTAATATAACTTAGAATGGCAAACAAGCTGACGGCCCACCTGATAAAAAGTGTTAACCGTCGCCTATAGACATGAGCAGTACCATGGACATAACAGAGTATACTGTTTCGCCCATGATACCCCCCATGATAAACACTGATAAAGCACTCGCTAATTATTTAGATGCCATCCTGTTACATTAGGAGTTCAACCTGTATATATTTAAATTACTTGAAACTACAAATTGATAATAAAAGATTGTAACTATTAAAAAATCAGATTTCAATTGTGACAAAAGCAGTTTTGATCTAAAAACTTCGGTCCTGGACCGATTTTGATAAAATTTCCATGTGATCAAGCTGTAAGTATATTTTTTAAGAAAATAAAAGAATAATTTTCCAAATCGATTTAGAACTAATGGAATTATAACGCAACATACAAAAAAAAAACCGAATTAAGAACCTCCTTCTTTTTTAGTCGTTTAAAAATAGGATATATTGTGCACTCAATTCGAAAGCAAGACCAGTGTTTGCACCGGTCAGGGCGAGTACAAACAACTACTATTAGGCTCAAGCTAAATGGCACAGGGACTGACAACTAAAGTTGCCCTCGACGCACGGCCTTCACATTTCACAACACCCGGACTTAGCCGCGCATCCAGTCAGTCCGGCCGCGGTGCATTCATTCAAACAAAAACGGCGAAAGGAGGTGACGGATTCTGTAAATAATCACCGAATTCATTTCGTAATAACTATATTAATTTTAGATCGATTACCGATTATTTTTAATGTGCAAATAACCTAAATATATCAGATAAATATTTACAGGAATAATTGTGTAGGTACTAAAGTTTAACCTGAACCGTCACATCTATAGTTTTTTATATATTGTAGAGCAAATATATATTTAAAATGCAATTCTTTCTTTTGTGACGTTATCTATTTAAGCATCTGATCTACTATTATATTAAAGATATCTGCGTTAATATCACCCCTTTCTGCCTCATCAAGGTAGAGTTGAAACTATCGAGGCTAGAAAAGAATACGAGTACAAAGAAGGACGTTTGGATAGATTTGGCCTTTAAAGTTTGTAACTTCAGTCCGAAAACTGAATGCAAGAAAATAAAGACAAGACATGTCACGTTCTGCCAATTTTTCAGTTATCAGTTTACATACTATTTTAAATATTCATTTAACAATTATAATAAAATTGTGTGTACACAGTATATCTATTGTAAATAAGAATTCATGTATGCAGTGGTTATAGAAAATACATTAAAAACCCTTTGATAAAACCAGTTAAGCCAAATTTTAAATCGAAATATTACATAATTTAAATATGAAGAAATTAAGAAATTTGGAACGAATGCATGTTTTTTTTTTCGACAATACAGCCTTGTTTGTTTCAAGCAAAAAAGAAAAAAAACATGATATAATCATATTTCTCACAAATGCTTTATGTTAAAATCAAATGGATGTTATTTTTGGACAGTTGCTAATAATAATTGTATTTAAAATATTATTTTATTCAAATCTACGTAAGTCGATCGATCGATTTACATGTAACATTTGGTTTTCAAAGCCTGCTTTTATAATTGTGACATATAAAAATGTAGTCAAAATCTCTATATTGTGTATATAGAGTAGATATGAAATTGGTATTTCGTAAATATATAAATACCAAAAAAATTGTTATAAGATAACATAAGAAACATATACTGTTACTTATGGTATACTTCTTTCTTGATTATGCGATGTACCACACCGCACAGATTTTATTATAAATCATATATTTAACAAAAAATTATAAATAAAAAGATATAATTACTATCGGAGCAAGTGACAAATTAATGAAAATTTCAAAACTTTCTACTACAACAGTAGTTTATGTTCATTCAGTTTGCTCAATAACTAATAAAATATTGAATACCGTGAATGTTATCAAGTATATCTATATTTCTGTACTAACATTAAGAAAAAGATTTAGTAAATTTGATGTGCACGGTAAGCAGGAAAATTATAACAATCTGAATCGCTATCTATATTAGAAAACCATAAAAAGT